TGCAGATCGAGGACCTGTCGCAGCAAGTGCACAAGGCAGCGGCTGAGAAGTTCAAGGTGCCCATGGAGCACTCGCCTCTGATCACGGAGACGGCCCCTACCCTCACCATCAAGGAGGAGAGCGAGGAAGAGGAGGAGGTGAGACCCTGGATGGGGGTGGCCTGACTTGGTCCCTGCACGGTAGCCTGGGAGGGGCCCTCTAGGCTCCCTGTCTTTGTCCTTCTCCCCCAGATGTGCCACCAGCCTTTGCGTTAGCCCTGGCTTCCAGCGAGGGCCAGCCGGGCGCCCGTCTGGGGAGGGGCAAGGACTCATTCAGGCCTCCGGGATCTAGGCAGACCCTGCAGTGCCCCACTGGGACTGGTCCCTTCTGGGTGGGGGGGTTGCCCCAGGACCTGTGATCAGGGAGGGGGGAGTTCAGCTCCGGGCATTGCCCCAACGGTGCTGGAGCTGGGCGAGAGCGTGAGCATTTCCCTCCTTCCCTCCCCACGGCAGGTGGATGAGACGGGGCTGGAGGTGCGGGACATCGAGCTGGTGATGGCCCAGGCCAATGTGTCGCGACCCAAGGCCGTGCGGGCGCTGAGACACAACAACAATGACATCGTCAACGCCATCATGGTAAGGGCAGGGGCTGGCAGGGGGCGGGGGTGACTCGTGGCTCGCTGCCCAGGCACCCATTCCCTAGAGAGGGAAACTGAGGCAGGGAAGGCCTCCAGGTGTGGGGCCCCTGCAGCCCCCTGACCCTCTGGTCTCTCCTACAGGAGCTGACGATGTAGCGGCGGTGGCGCCGCGCCCTGTATAGCTGCACAGTTCCTCCTCCTCGTCCTCCGCGAGCCGCCCCCGCTGCTCCAGAGCCGCACGCGCTGCCCGGTCCGGCCCGGCCGCCTCTGCCCTGCTGCTCAATAAACGGCCTCGTGTATCACTCCAACGCACATCGCCTCCCTCTGCTCTCTGAGCGCCGTGGGGAGCCGGGCTGGGAGCAGCTGGAGCTTCCTCCTATACTGGCAGGGACTTGCCTTGCTCCAGGGGCTTTGGCTGGGTTGAACCCCAGTGCTGGAGCAGGGCCAGAGCTGTGGGTTGGCAGAAGCCCCCTCTCACCTAGGGCAGGATGGGATCCATTGCTGCCCGGCGCTCGGGGCAGGGCTGGTGTGTGACCCATGGAGGGGGTTGTTGGCCCATGGTTGCTTGTGCCCCCCCTTGCTCCCTGCCACGTGCTGAGCACTGCTTCCACCCAGGCTGGCCAGCTCCAGCTCTGAGCCGCACAAACAGCCTCCGGCAATTTGGGGAGGGCAGGGACAGTGCCGATGTGGCTCCCAGGTGGTGCTGAGCCCACAGCGGGGTGCTGGAGCCTACTGCAGGCAACACCGCACTGATCCCTGTAGCAGCTGGCCTGGGCCAGTCCCTCGCTGCAAGCATTGAAGCTGCAAGAAGCACAGGCCTGGCTGTGCCCTGCGTCCCGGTGCAATGAGCTGGGGGCACTCTGGGCACTTGCTCAGCACCATCTTCATCTCGGGTGCTGCTCGGGCCCTGCTGGAGCTCGCCCCCGGGCGGATGGGGAGAGGGGAGGTGGTATCGCAGTAGAGAGCCTGGGTGCTACGAGTGGGCGGTGAGGCAGGGACAGGGCCCCGCTGCTCCGTGCCCAGGTGTTGGCGGGAGCTGGTTGTTGGAGGCAGAGGTGAGTACAGAGCCCAGCTCCTGCCTGAGAGGTGCATGGCTCCTTCCTGCCCTATGTCCCTCCTCCCTGCGCTCGGGGCTGTATGTTTCCTGTTGGGCTCTGGCTCCTGCTCGCTGCCGTCTCCTGGGGCAGGACCTCCTGGGCAAGGCCAGGTGGGGCTGGGGGTGTGTGGGAGGGCTGCTGGCATAGCCATGCCAGGCCAGGATCCCTGGGAGGGGTGCTGCCCAGCACCTGAGGGTCTTGCAGCAGGTGTCGAGCAGGATGTGTCTGATGAAATCCCATTTCAGCCTCCTCCCTCCGTCTCGGGTGTCCATCTCGGGTACTAAATGACCAGCTCTGCCTACATGACAGAGAGGAGAGAGCTCTAAGCAGCGCCCTCGTGGCATGGGGGTAGGAGCGCCAGCCCCCATCACTCCACCAAGTAACCAGTGATGCTTTTTAAATTGATTGGAGGTGAGGTCAAGCAGGGGATTTTAAGGGGCCTCCATCTCGCTCTCACTCTCTCCCTCACAACGCATGGACACACCAGGAACTGCCTGCCTCCAGAGGAAAGCTCAGTCGGGCCCCGGATGATGCTTGTGAGTAAGCTACTCGGGGAAACGATCTAGAGATCTGCATTACTGCAAGCTAGATGTGTCGTCAAAGGCTACCCAGCCACACTGTGTTTGCTCTAAAGTTTTATTCCTTAATACAGCTCTATCCTGTGCCCTTCCCCAAGCCAACCCTACGTGCTAAGAAAGTTCTCCGCTGTACCAAGCGTAGTGGACTTGCTGGGAGAGGGTTTGCCTCTTTTTCTATTTCCTTGGCTCAGATGACCAAGGGAGGCGACTTTTTGTGCTTCAGGCTAAAGGAAGCCCCCCAAGCTCTAGCAGTGGGTCACAGGGTCCAGCCCAGGGTGGAAGCTGGGGGCAGGCAGGGGGCAACAGGCCAGCGTTCAGCCCTGGAAAGCAGCACTGAATTTGGGCTCGGCCCCAGTCAGGGTTCGAACCCACAGGCCTATACAGTGCTGTACCTAGATCCTGGTAGCCCTGGGTGAACTTTTTAGTTTCAGGCCCCCCTTTTCCAGAGATGACTTCTTTTGTTGCACAAATCTTTATCACATCTGTGGTATCAATGTCTTTACCACCTGAGAACAAACTATTTAACAGTGCCAGTTCCATATATGTGCAATATTAAAACCTCTTTCTCTTTTTCTTTCTCTTTTTCTTTCTCTTTTTCTTTCTCTTTTTCTTTCTCTTTTTCTTTCTCTTTTTCTTTCTCTTTTTCTTTCTCTTTTTCTTTCTCTTTTTCTTTCTCTTTTTCTTTCTCTTTTTCTTTCTTCTGAGGGAGGTAGGAAACCCTAGGCCACTTGTAGAGACAGAAATCCTTCTTAACCCCATGCTGCTGGCTAGCGAAGCCTGGCGACTAGACTGACACCCTGCACCTCCATCTATGTTCCCTCCACGCTCTGGTCCCAATGGCTTTAATCTCCAGGAATAGCTGTAGCCACATGGGTTGGGCTAGGCTGTAGCGAGGCAGCACTGTAGGAAGCTACGGTGCTGGAAAGCAGCATGGGAGGAGGGGGCCTCGTGGCCACGGGGTGATACAACAAGAGAGCCATGCAATCACACTCGCAAGCAAAAAATCTGGTGCTGGGTACATGGAAACCGCAGTGAGAAAACAGGAGGAGGGTCAATGCGAGCATGTGGGCTCTCTCATATGTCCGGTATCTCTGCCAGTCCAGGACAAGCTGCACTCAGTTACACACAGACTGTTATATGGCCCAGCTGGCCCGTGGCCTGGCAAGAACAAACAGGAGGTTGCATTGCTAGTCCCAAAGCCACATGGTGTTTGCTGCTGCCTTCAGGATGGGGAAGGCTCACCCCTGGCTGAGCCGCAGGCTCAGGGAGGGAGGGAGCCGGGCTGGCCCGGGGCTGCGTGCAGGGTGCATTGGAGCAGAAGGCAGAGACGGCAGGGGTACAGAGCCACCCGGGCTGTGGAGGCCTGGTTGGCACAGGAGCAAAGGTCTGGGATGCTGGGGAAAAAGCCCCGTGTGCTCTCTACCACCCCATCGCCACCCACTGTAGGCAGCATACAGGTGTGGTGGGGAGAGCCCGGCGCTGGAACCAGCAGCCAGCAAGACCTCAGCCGCGGCATCTGAGCCAGGAACACAAGCCCTAGGGCCGCTGCGGCAGTCAGTGCCCAGGACACTGATCCCGACTGCATGCACGAGGATGTTGCTGCGTCTGCAAGCTGCCCCAGATGGCAGCGCATGGGGGCTGGCAGGGGTCAAGGGTGCTGGGAATGGCCAGGGGCAGACGAGACCCCCCCCACCTCCTTTGAGCTAGGACAAAGCTGCTTGTTCAGGGGCCAAGAGCCCTCTCTTCCCCTTCCTGGGGACAGCTCCTGGGGTTGGGCCCGAGCTGGCCAGCCTGCTCTGCTACCTCTTGAGGTGGGCAGGGACTTTTGGGGACCATCCCGCACTGCTAGCCCCACAGATGCAAGTTCAAGCCCCACTTTGGACCCTGCTCACAGGCTGTGAACAGGGGCAGCAGCAGCAGCTCAACGGCTTGAGCCTTAAGGTTGCACCTGCCTGGAGAGAGCTCAAGTTGGAGGATGCCCCCCGTGACTCCCAACTCCTGCAGCACAAGGGCTCCTGCGGGACCAGCGTGGCAAAGCTCTGCCTTCCGGGAGGAGAAGGTGTGGGGTGCTGGGCTCTGTTCAATGATGGGTCTGAGCACGCGTGCCACGGACCTTTCCGCGAGCCCACAGAAGGGCCAAGGGAGCATCACAATTCCCGTCCCCACGACCTTAGGCGCTGGGCTGACGGAGAACAGCCAGAGCAGCAGCCAGGCTCCATCCAGGACACGCACTGAGCTCACACCAAGTTGTGCCAATGCTCCTGCTGGGACTCAAACGCGGGGGGTCCCGGCTAGAGGGTCCTGCCCCTCCGCTCAGTCAGACCAACGCTGCATTGGGGGCAGGAAGGGATTTCCCCACTCGTCAGACTGGTATGGACTGGGGGGGGATTTGCCTGCCTCTGCAGCAGGGGCAATGGCTTCTGCTTCTCTCAGCTGCATGTGAACGCCCCTTACGGTGTCAGGACACTGCCAGGCCTCGTCTACCTGCTTGCCCTGTGCCAGGTTCAGGGGCTTTGGTGTCTTTGGGCCACGGGCCTCGTAGCTGTGTGACAGGGTTGAGTGAACCACGCTAGGACTAGATGAGACGAGGGTTGGATGGGGCTGACCCAGCCTAGACCGGCCGTGACCTCCGGAGGTCCCTTCCAGCCCAACTGTCCTATGACTCCAGGATTCGATCAGCGGATGCCGCAGGAAACACCAGAGTCCGCGTCAGGTGCAGAATTATATTTACCTGTAACAAATACTCCATACATAAAGCAAACGTACATACAGACATACAAAAAAAACCCCAAAACCCCAAACGGCATCAAAATAACGTCAGGGTGAAACCAAGGCAAAGAGCATCACAACTCAACCCAGACGCACCATCCCCGTGTCGACGTGCTGAGCTCGACGGGATCTTTGGTAGCTCGGACCACCTGAAAGCCTGTCACAAGCAAGGAAAGGGCCGTGTCTTTCCCCGGCAGACCCGGGGGGGAAGGAGGGAGGTGTGCTTAAGGGCAACTCGGGACCGATCCGGGCTCCAGCACCCGTTTCTCACTCACCTGCTCCATCGAAAGTGATGATGATGATGAAGAACACAGCTGTGCGCCACAATTTAGTCCCGGTGCCCCCCAAACGGCGTATACAAAAATACTGCAGCTGTTAGGTCTCCCTTACTAGAGATCTCGCTGTACAAGTGTTTCAAAAATAGGGTCTTTGATTCGCACCAGCCTCCGAGGACTGTTGTAACCGTGACTGTACAAAAAGGCACTCAGAAGTCCATGCTGGGCACAGGTCCGGGAGACGCCCCTCGTGACAGCAACGTACCGCTGGGCTTTGTGCTGCGCGGCCTTGATAGGGATCTTCCCTCCACATGCCCGCCAGAGGCCTTGGTCCCGCAGACAGGCTGCAGGGAGTAGGTGACATGGCTAGTTCACCCCCAGGTCTGCAACAGCGGCACCAGCGACAAGCCTCTTCCCCTGCAGATCGAGGGCAAGGATCCTTGTTCTGCCCTGCAGGGCCCAGCGTGCAGGATCTGGCGGCTGTGTGGACCTGTCGAGGTCTCAGGCTGCGCAGGCTTGGTCAGGCTGCCCTGACGAGGGTTAAGGAGACCAAGGACCCCTGCATAGCCCGAGACCCCGTCGTTGCCTGCGCCGTGTCCAAGTCACCATCCCTCTGGCCCCGCCAGCGAGGCGCCAAGCAGGAATCCGCGGGGAATCCCAACGGAGGGGTGAAGCAGCAGAGCAGGATGCAGCGAGCGATGGGTGGAGAAGCACGGCCAGCCCTTTGGGTCAGGGGTACCACGTCCATCCGTGCCGCCCTGCTCCTCCCTCACGGGGTGAAGCCCAGGCTGACTTTCCCCACTCCGGTGAGGTCCCCACGGCACAGCCCGAGGCCGTGGGCTCTCAGAGCTTCCTCCCAAAGCCGAGTCAGGATGCAAACATTACTTGTGGCCGTCGTCCAGAGAAAACGGGCCGCAGGCTGGACCCACCACATCCCTCCACGTCGCTGGAGTCAGGCAGCAGAGCGGAAACCCAGGTTCTCTATCGAGGCAGGGAAGCGACGTGCGAGCTCAGGCTGGACCCAAAGCCACGAAACTCCTGCAGCTTTCGTGGGAGGTTAGCACCTGGCCAGCGCCAGCTGCAACTGGCTACGTCAGGATCCTCTTCATCGAGGACCTTGCTCTTGACACTTGGAGAATGCCCTCTTTAGTCCCTCGGTGCTGGGAGAAAGTGCTGAGCACCAGCAGGTAACAGGCTTTCTTCCTCTTCCCCCGCCTCTGAGGCATCATGCGAGAAGCTATAGATTCTTCTCGACATCTGGTTACCGTCGACTTGGAAAGCATCTCCTCTTGGGATAAGGCAGCCTAAATCCTGGATTTTAGTATGCTGCAGAGCTACCCCAGGGACACATTTGGCCCAGTTGATACTCTTCCCAAATAAGATCTTGGAAAACGCTGCACCAACAGACGGAGAGAGGAGCCTGGTTTTCTGGGAGTGTGCAGATAGCTTCATCCAACAGGAGACACCCTTTGCTTTCCATGCCTCCATCCCATGCATTTGACTTGCGGGATACTCTACGTCCCAAGCACTGGTATCTCCGACCTGCTGCCCCGTCTTTGCTCCGACCAGGACGTCGTATCAAGATGTGCTGACACTACCACGACGGGCTGCTATGCTGAGGCATCGCGGATGTGAACGTCGCGCTGCGTGGGGACACGGCAGTTTTATTACCAACTTTGCAAAAGAGCGAGTCAGGGCTGGGAGATCTCCTGGCAAGTGTCCTTGAGGGCAGTGCCGTGGTGAAGCTCTTCAGAGACTGGACCCGATGGAGATGGCCAGCGTGCTGTGTGCTTGACCATCCCCTAAGGAGGGCCGTGGGGGCCGTCCCTGCTTCGTACACCTGCCACCGCCTTCCCAGGTGCCTCCACGGCGTGCGTCTAACCATCCGATTCCAGGCGATCCAGCCGATCTCCTCCCCGCGGATGGCCTGCACTCCACTGCTGGGCAAGGCAACCCGTGCAAGAAGTCGACCAGCGAGCCTGGTTTGTGCAGAGTGAATGCTGCACTGTGACTTCGCAGTCAACAACTTCCTCCCCGCCCCAAGCACAAATTTGAGGGGGGAAAAGCACCGATATATACACAAATGAACACTGCACTCGTTCCTTTTAATGTAAGAGGATGATTGTGGTGCAAGGGAAGTACGTCTGCCACCGGAACGCCCGTTCCCACCCTTCCCCTTCTTCTTGGCATGAACAGCTGGCGTGTTTGGGGTGGGGGGCCGAGACAAACCATCCTTCACCGGGCATGGCTGTGATGCAAGCCAAGTTCAGGAACGGTGACAGACACCCGGAGATGAGCGACAAGGACCTGTTATGGGCCCCGACTCCTTGCCACAGACCTCAGAGCCCCTGTTGTGCCCCCTCGAAAGTGCAAGGAAGATGCTCCACCATGCCAGGGGCCACAAAGCTGGTCCCGGCAAGCAGGCTCAAATGGAGAGAAGCGGTCAAGGGGATTGATTTATAGAGGGAAAAATAACATAAATAGCTTGGCTAAATGAAGAACAGGGGGCTGGGGAAGCGGCGCACGATTGCTGATAGGTGCCGGAGAGGTAGAAATGTCAAGAAGCTTCAGATGTTTTCGGGGGGCGAGGTGAGATACAGAGGAGCAGTAAGATGAAGCAGTGAACGGCAGGCAAAAGGCTCCAGGACAGCAGCCACCTGGGATGCTGCAATGTGGACAGGTCCAGCGCTCCGAAGAACATGCTTCCAGGGACAGGACGCCAGCGCCTGGCAAGGCAGCCAGCAAGCGTTCCCCTCTCCCGCTCCTTCGGCTGCTGCCCAGGCTATTTATCACAGGTAGGCAGGAAGCAACAAATCCTCCCCGAGGATCCTCCCAAGGCAAGGCCAGACACTTGGGGACTCAAACTGCGGCACTGGCAACTCATGCTCAGCTGAAGGGTCTTTAACCCAAGCCACGAGATTCCCTGTCCTAAGAAACCGGCCCGTTGGGTCCCTGGATTTCCCGGGCCCAGTTCTGCTCTCATCGAGAGGCCACTCCTAGGCAGTAACTCGTGTGTCAGTCCCGCTCATGCTCGAGCTGGCTCCTCGTGGAAAAAACGAAACGTAGAGGGTCCGAAAGAGCGCCAAGAAATCTGCGTGGCCTTTTAACATGGCTCAGCTTTAGCTGTTGCCCCATCGCGAGCTGGCAGCGTTATCTTCCAATTCAACCGAAGACGAGGAAAACCTGTTAGAAGAGCAGCAAGCTGAACCCTGAACTCTCATCTGGGCGTCTTCCCTTAGGTCCAGCGAGAGGAATCCCGCTGCGGCGCGTCAGCTCGGCAGCACCATGTGTACAAACTACAAATGGCAACAGGTGGGAAAAACCAGGGCCTTGAAGCACCAGGATCTGGGGGAAGAGAACGGCTCGCTAGGCCAGTTGGCATTTGTGCTCAGGACACACTGAAATTCCCTCTGGATTTCTCTTTTATGAAAGGAGAAAAGAAAGGCTGGCTCGGTCCAGCTTCCTGGGGCTGGTACCTTGTATCCCTGAAGAGCTTTTGGTTACAGCAAGGAGAGCAGTGCCTGCTCCCCCCACAGAGCGCTGTAACGGATAGGGCCTTTCAGGATGTGATGGCTAACGTCTCAGCCGCCGTGCTCCTCCACAGCTCCATGGCAGCGGGCGGTACGGACGTTATGGCATGACACGCGGATAAAAAAATAAGTACAATTGCATGTATGATATGTCCAATGTGTACACTGCATTATATACCCCATGGCTAGCTTTGTAGAAAGTTTACTTCGTGAGTTCTTCGACCTGCTGCCAACTCTCGCCCTCCCAACAGAACAGAGATCCCCCCCCAAAAGAGCCACTGAGGTTCAGCCTCAGCCAGATTTAGGATTTCCTGGTTACTGCGTCTTTACAGTGGAAGTCCTGAGCAGATGAACGTGCCAATGTCACATCCCTTTGGAAATTCCCTGCCCTTCTTCGGGGTCGAACCTTGCATATATTCAGCACTCTGACTGCCTCCAAACCAGCCCAGCAGGAGGTGCGCAAGCTCTCCCATGCACGGGGTGCTGCGGAGGCATACGTGCACCATGGCACCCTTGAGGGAGCAGCAGGGAACTGGCCTGGCATCGAGACTGAGTGAACAGCTGTGCTTGTGTAGACTGGGGGGCTGGCAGAACTGGACACGGTCCCACACCCCCACACCCATACACTCAACACCTACACACATCAGGCCTGACCAGCAGCTTCCTAAGAGGTAACTACGTGCTTCCACCCTTCGCTGCTTTTCCCAAGCAACGGCTGCCAGCCACACCAGACTGCAAGACAGGCCTCAGCACCAGGTTTTGGGCAAGGAGGGTGCCAAGCACACCATCGTTCACCTGTATGAGATGCCGCACCCAAACCTAAGCGCTAGACGGATAACGGCCAAGGTTGTCCGTGGCAGCCAACTGCAAAGGCGGGGCAAGGCAGTCGTGTTTGCAAAGCTCCCTCTCGGGCCAGCAAATGCATTGGTGCTGCAACAGGCAACCTTGCAGCTTCGGCTAGAAATGTTCTGGTGACACCGACAAATATTTAAATTATTCACATTGTAGTAAACTTCATTTAAAAAAAAAAAAAAGAGAGAAAGAGAGAGAGTCTGAGTTACAAGAGGAATATTGTGTGCAAAACTGAAACCGGCCAGAGGCTCCTAGCGCAATGCTCCTTCTCCTCTGCATAAGCCCCTTTCCCACCCCCCCGGGCACCTCGGACCGTCGTGGTGGCGGCAAAGATGGAACGAAGCCACGGAGGCTGCTGCAAGAAGTCTGAGGAAGGGACCCATATCTTGTCCCCCAGCCCAGGCTCCTTGCTCACACGTGCACACACACGCCTTCACAGTAAAGGGACACCAGCTGCCAGCCAAAAGTGCCTGCTGGGGCCAGTGAAGCCACTGCCAAGGCAGGGAGGGAGGAGCAGGTAATCACGCCCCGGTTCATCCCGAGAACCTCTTTCCGAATGAAAGGTCAGGAAGACGGTAGCGAGTGTTGCTGAGGTCCGTAAGGGGGATGGAAGGGAGAAGGACGCAGCCTCAGGAGAGGGAGCTGCCTTGTCTTCTTCCCTTCCCTCCCCCCTGCTGTCTCTCAAGAGGAGTCACGGTCCATGCTGCACCCCAAGGCTTCAATGTCGTTGCTGATGTGAGAGATCATCCGGTCCCACTCGTCCTCCTCTGAGGGCACAGACTGGTCGTCTGAGCTGCCGGCGGCGCCGTTGCCGTTGGTGGTAGAGTTGGAGGTGGTGCTCATTGTCCGCCTGTACCTCCCAAAGCTGTCCGTGATGATCCCGCGCCCGTCCTTCACGCCGATGGTCTCCAAGAAGTTCTCAAAGTGCTGGCTGTCCTTTTCCGGAATGAACGGTCTGAGGCCTTGCCCCGGAAACAAACCCAGAGGAGGAAATGTTAGTTACTGAATACGTTTGACATGGCAACCACACCCCGACCTAGGCTACTTGTCTGGAGTGGCGCACATGGAGATGGCCCTGCCCGGAGCAGGGGCTGGACTGGGCACCCTCCTACTGGCCCTGCCTGTTCTAGGTCCAAGGATTCTGTCCCTCCATCAAGACCCCCGAGACACATCAGTGAGACTGGCCCAGGCAAGGGCTTCGGGAGCTGGTTGTAGGATCACAGGAGTCCAAACAGAACAGGGAACAGGCTCAGGGCCATAGAACCATAAAATCATAGAAAATGAGAGCTGGAAGGGACCTCAGGAGGTCGCATCTAGTCCAGCCCCTGCTCCAAGCAGGACCAGCCCCAACTACATCAGCCCAGCCAAGGCTTTGTCTAGCTGGATCTTAAAAGCCTCCAAGGATAGAGATGCCACCACCTCTCTGGGTGACCTGTCCCACTGCTTCACCACCCTCCTAGTGAGAAAGTTTTTCCTAATATCCAACCTCAACTTCCCTGTCTGCAGCTTGAGCCCATTGCTCCTTCTCCCATCTGCCACCCACTGAGAACAGCCCAGCTCCATCCACTTTGCACCCCCCGGCAGGGAGTTAAAGGCTGCTATTCAATCCCCCTTCAGTCTTGTCTTCTCCAAACTAAATCAGCCCCGTTCCCACCACCTCTCCTCATAAGTCTGCAGATGAACTCCCCTCTGGGCTCGTCCTCCAGGTCTGGGGCTCAAATAGTTTCTTGGCTGTTCTGTGTGGGCAGCCACGTCCTCCCAAGCACCACCACCCTGTCATGGGGACCCTCACAACCCCCCCCACATGCCTATCTGGACAGGGTAGTGCACAAACAGGTAGCGAGACTGAACGCGCTCACTCTGGTGGGATCCCGGGGCCCTCCAGACGCAAGGGGCTGGAGGTGCGTAGAGTATAACTGAGTCAAGTGTCAGGGGTAACTGCTTGGCCCACACGACATGGTGATCTCCAACTCCACCCCATGCCTGGTTCCAGGCAAAGACCGCAGGTAATGGCTGCCCTTTCAGAGCCGCCAGATCCTGCTGCAGCAGAGAGGGGTGTGCCAGCTCCGTGACTTTCCTTCTTGGCCTCTCTGTGGCCACTAGCTGCCTCTAGCAACCTGTTCACCAGGATCTGCAGTGCCCCAGCAAGGCAGGGAACTGCTGTGAACTCCTGCCAGCCACAAAATGCATAGCCCTCGTTACTTGAGCTGTGCACTGCCCGTGCATCAGCTTTGCCCGGGCTAGCCCCACCAGACGATGCCACGGACCCGCAGGAACTGCGGGGCCCTGCCCAGAGCTGCTGACAGCATAGATCAGAGGCTCTCAACCTTTTAGGACCCGAGGTCCCCTTCAGAAAAATGCCAGCTCTCGGCTTTCATTTGTTTTGTGACTAAAGAAAAATACTACAGCAAGTCTGTTGCAAAGACCTCAGCAAGCCCGCGACAGAATGGTTTCAGCACGTCGGAGTCCTATTTGAAGCCTGGGTGTATCTAGTGCATCATGTTTGCACACCTCAAAGTGCTAATGTGGTGTGATATCCTGTGGCACCCTTGAAAAGATCTCAAGGCACCCCAGGGCGCCGCGACACTCCAGTTGAGAAGCACCGGTATACATAGACACCTAAGGCGGAGAAGGGGAGGATGAGAATAATGACGGCATTTGCAGCCAGTCGTGCTCTAGACTCATTGTAGGACAGCTCAAACCTGCTTCTGATCCAAGATGTTTCTAAGCAAGTATCCATCATAACTGGTGCTCAGCCTCCCCAATAGTAGCTGTCTACTCCTGTATTCGTGGCAGTCTAGTCCTGTAGATCAAGAGCAGGTTGGACGGACACTTGGCTGGGATGGTTTAGTCAGGGATGCTCCTACCTTGAGCAGGGGGCTGGGTTGACCCCAGGAGGTCCCTTCCAGCCCAACTTGCCTACGATTCCATGCTAAGAGCGCCACCGTGCCCACGCACAAAGAACCTGAGATACATGGGAACCAAGACGGTGTTCAAAAAAGCTGATACACCAAGAGATACCAGCCAAATCTACCTAAAACCTCAATAAGGCTGCAACACTGCATGGATCGGCACTGAATTAATTTTAAGACAATTCCCAGAGCAGCGTCTTCAGCCAGGACCAGCTTCTAGGTTCTTTATCTCCTCGCAAAGAGCCTGCTTGAAGGTACATCTATTATTCTCAATGATACCAGTGGTCCCAGTGAGCGATGACACGTCTCCCTGGGCTTTGGAGGGGAATCTGGGGATGTTCCACAGAAAACAAGGAGGCAGCAAAGGGATCTGTACAGACCTGCCAGTCACACTCGAAACGACAGCCGACGACAGGCAAGCTAGCCTCGTGCCTGCTCATCCTTCGGGAAGCTGTTCTGAGCGAAGCTATTTGACATCTTAGCCTGCTCTGATCAGCCTGCCTCAATCCTCTGGGTACAACCTGATGATCTCGTGAGGTCCCTTCCAGCCCCTAACTTCTATGAATCTATGGAGGTGAGGGTGGAGAAGAAACATCATACGCCAGCTTCTCACAACGGGCTCTTTCTTTCTCTCCCTCGTACGGGCAGATCCAGTGAAGGAGACAGAAGGGTTTTAGCTAAGATGCCCTTTTGTGATAACACACCCAGCTGCTCCTCTGTGGATAAGACTGGATCTGTAAGCGTGAACTTACCCCTTATACATATGATACCACCTACCCATAATGCTGGTTACCTCTATCAGAATCGTCCGGTGTCTTTAACAGGTGTCTTACTTGTGGAGCTCTATATAACCAAGTTGTGGGAAACTTCCTCTTCTCCCCTCCCCCTTTGGCAGAGCAGAGTTCAGCGGAGCCATCTGATTTTCAGGTAGTTTTGCATCAGGCAGCGTGTAGGCAGCGTGGCCCTTTCACCCACACTCTAAAACAGTGATTCTCAACCACTGGGGTGCCATGAGAGCCTTTTAAGGGTTGCTACACAATACAAACCTTGTTAGATGAGCAAAAGCCTATGCATGATTCACAAGATAAACCCCGAGGTTTCATCCAGGAACCCAGGGTATCCAAAATATTCTGCCCTGCTTGGATTTTCCCGAGTTTTTTGCAGAAGAACTGCTCTCTCTTTTTCCACAGTCAAGCAAGCAGTGAAAGCTAAGAGCTGGCAGGCTTTATTCCAACAAGACATGCCTCGAGTCTGGAAAGGTTGCTGTTTCCCTTGCTGCTGCCTGTCGTGCTGCATTTGGGGAATAGCACAGGGGCCCTCTGGCGGCCATGGGTCACGCTGGGAAGCCAAGAAGGCCAGAGGAAAATTTGTCACTATGGATAATTCACTGAAAGGGTAGAGATCAAACAAGGTTTCTGGTGCCCGTTACTTCTTCATTAAGACATGCTGTGCAGGTTTATTGATCATAATGCCATAACAGCATCAGCCTCCAGATGAAAGCACCTGGGAGGAATGCACGCAGCACCGTCTCCGGGAACGTCTGCTGCGGGCTAGGAGCAGGGTTACAGACAGCACCATCCCAGCTAGCGGGAACCTCTAGCTACCAATAGACAGGACTTTAAAAAAGAAGTTAATGAGAGACGTTCCAAGTCATGAGCATATGTAGCAGGCAGAGATACAAGGAAGCTGGCTTATGTTTCTTGGAGTGCCTTGCTTTAGGCGAGATTAAAACGAACCCGCTTCGCAAATGCTGCTTTCCGGACAGTGCCGAGACACCGTGGCTCTTCCAAGAGGCAGGCTGGCTGCTGCTGGCCTGATGGGGAATTATTCTGTAAGGCACTTAAGCAATTTATTCTTCCTTGTAATGAGGGGCAGGGATTAGACTCTTAGGGTCCATTTAAGCATTCGTTTACACTAAGTCTATTTAGCCTGAGAGATAAGAGCCTGCCTTCTAGTGCCAAGCAAACAGCTGGATGCACTCCCTGTGAAGTCAATGGGAGCTGCAGCAGGCCTGCTGGACTCCATCGCTGCAAGCTCACCCTGTCCCCAGCTGGAAGACAGGCTCCTGAACTGTCTGCACAGCACTTGGTCCCACGGCCCTCACTCATTTCAGTCCCACTGATGCTCAGTCACCTCCCTCGGGGTGCAACGCTCCCTCTTCAACCTTCAGGCTGGTTTCCGTGAAAATCTAGGTATGCAATCCATGGACAAGCTTTGGCAGGAGGTCTTCAGACTACTGTGAACTCTCTGGGCATTTTTATAACCCATTTATAATATATTCGTAGAACTGGAGTATAACACAGCTGCCCATCAGTCCTCCCCACAACCATCACCCTATTTTAATTGGCAACAGGTATTTGTAACACTGCTAGTGATCTGGATCCCTGCTGATGGAATCGATGCTGGTGTTTGCAGCAGAGCAACAGCAGGCCTCCAAGAAATGCTGCCCGGACGAGAGCCGTTTGCCAAGTAGAATCTAACCCAGATCGGTAGCTGCTCCCTCATTACCACCCAGCAGCTGTTCAGGGACGGCATGAAGTGCATCAGTCCCGAGCCAGCTCTCCCCTTTCTGGTGACTGCATCAGCCATATCACCATAGGCCCTGGCTTGTGCTCTTCTTTCCAGACAGGTTTCAGAAAAGTTAAAGGTGGAAGTGGCTTGTGGAGAATGAACTCCTTGTTCCCTGGTGCAGGTCAAGGCGTGTTCAGAAGGCTGCAGACAAGAACTGAGGCTTCCCAGGCTGCACCTATTCTCTAGGTAGCGGGCTCTGATCTCCAGCATGGCCCATCACTGATATAACAGACTCCTCACACGCACCCAGGAAGGCAAAACTAGGGAGAGCTCAGCCCTGGGGTGAGGGGTGCCACGAGGATGGGAATGGCAAACAGGAAAGAGTTAGTCCTTAAATGATCGCTGGACATAACCAGAGCTGGTGACAGACATCTGTCTCTTCTTCTGTGGCTGAGATGTTCTTCCCAACTTTCCCCGTTTGTCCCATTGAAGGTTTAGGACACTGTCATCCCACTGGGCTATTTGGATAGTAAAGGTAAGCAGGTTTTAGTACGCAAGAACATCAGAACTGCCATGTACTGGGGGAGACCCTATACCCGTCTGGCCCAGTCTCCTGTGTCACACCATGGCAGAGTAGATGCTTGAAGGGAGAATGACCTGGGTCTGCCCAAGGATTTTTCCACTTGCAGCCTCTGGCCTTGAAGGTCCGGGAAGTTCCGATTCAGAAGCTGAACCCCTCACTCCCATGTTTCATAGTTGGTCGGGTCGGAAGGGACCTGAAGAGATCATCTAGTCCGCCCCCCTGCCATGGCAGGAAAGAGTACTGGGGTCAAACGACCCCAGCCACATGTTCGTCCAGCCTTTTTTTAAAGACCCCCCAGGGTAGGAGCCAGCACCACTTTGCTTGGAAGTTGATTCCAGGCCCTAGCTCCCCTGACAGTGAAACAGCGTCTCCTAATGTCTAGCCTGACATTACCCTCCACTAGCTTGCGTCCGTTGTTTCTTGTAACTCCCGGGATTGCTCGGGGGAACAGGGACTCTCCCAATGCCTGCTGGTCCCCCTCGACTAATTTGTCGACTGCCGCTAGATCCCCTCTCAGCCTTCTCTTTTGGAGGCTGAACAGGTTCAGGTCCCTCAGCCTCTCCTCGTAGGGCCTGCCCTGCTGATCCCTGATCATGCGAGTGGTCCTCCTCTGGACCCTCTGTATATTGGCCACATCCCTCCTGAAGTGCGGCACCCAGAACTGGACGCAGTACTCCAACTGTGGCCTGACCAGTGTCGCACAGAGGGGGAGGATCACCTCCTTGGCCCTGCTCGAGATGCATCTGTGGATGCACGACAAGGTGCGGTTGGCCTTCCTGACTGTGTCCCCACTTTGTCGGCCCATGTTCATTGTGGCATCAGTGATGACTCCAAAATCCTTTTCTGTCTCAACACTGGCGAGAAGGGAGATCCCCAGCCTGTAGGTGTGCCGCTGGTTCTTCCTCCCCAGGTGCAGTACCCTGCACTTGTCAGTGTTGAACCCCATCCTGTTCTCATCCGCCCACCCCTGTAACCTGTCTAGATCCGCTTGCAGCCTGTTCCTTCCTACTAGCATGCCCGCTTCCCCCCACATCTTAGTATCATCTGCAAACATGAACAGGGTGCTTTCTACCCCCTCGCCCAAGTCACTGATGAAGATGTTGAATAGTGCAGGCCCAAGGACCGAGCCCTGGGGGACCCCACTGCCCACATCCCTCCAGGTCGAATAAGACCCGTCCACCACCACCCTCTGGGTGCGGCCTCCAGCCAGTTAGCAACCCATCTGACCGTGTAGGCATCAACACCACTGTCTCCTAGTTTCTTACTGAGAATGGGGTGAAAGACCGTGTAGAAGGCCTTCCTGAAGTCCAGAAAGACTATATCCACTGTGACACCTGCATCCATGTTCAATAGCTACTGATGCCCCTTTCCTCCAAGAATGTGTCCAGTCCCTTCATGAATCGGCTAAACTTTCAGTTTCCCCCACATCTGGTGGCAACGAGTCTCTAATGATACGCTGGGTGAAAAAGAACTTCCTTGTGTTTGTTTTAAAATGACTACCTAGTAGTTTCATGTTGTGACCCCCTGTTCTTGTACGGTGAGGGACCGTACATAATAAATCCCTGTCGACCTTCTCTTTCCCATTTAGTATTCTGTAAACCCTTCTCACATCCTCCCCTCAGACGTCTCCTTTCGAAACTCAGGGCATCAGTGAGGTTACCTGAATGGCCTGCAAGTGGCGGAGAAGGATACTCTAGCACCCAAAATCAAATACAAATACACTGCAAAAATACTGACTAAGAGGTAAGAGCTAAAAGCACTCATTGTTTTAACTGACTTCACTTCTCAATCTTTAGGACAAGGTAACAAAATAACTTGGAAAAATAAAAAGATCTGAACAACAGGACAAAAGCTGCCCCACTCCTCTTCAGCATTCAAAATCCTTCAATTAGATGTGTGCATTTTTTCTTGCAAAATGACCCCCCACCCAGATCTGACCTATTCCCAAGCAATCCTGCAAATACTCATTCTGATTTATAATGTATTTGAAAATGGGCTTGTCCCAACCCAAGGTGCCTTTGTATGTGGTTAGAGATATAGTCTCATAATACACGGAACTGACTGCTCTCATCTCAGGCCAGAAAGCTGTTAGCCGCAGACCAACCACTACTCCTTATTACAATCTGCAAACTGAGACAGGTTTCAATGACAGGGGAAGGTTACCCATAATGACTCTAAAGCAGCGACGGGCAAGATGCGGCCTGCTGGCTGGATGCAGCCCACCAGGCCATTTCATCTGGCCCGTGGGGCCCCTAAAAAATTTAGAAAATTAATGTATATCTGCCCCTGGTTACCTGTCATGCGGCCCTCAATGGCTTGCCAAAACTCAGTAAGTGGCCCTCTGCCCGATATAATTGCCTGCCCCTGCTCTAAAGCCAGAATAGACTCGTAGATCACCTGGTCTGGTGTCCTGTATTAAGGGCCCCTCTTCACCCTGCCTGGTCTGTACACCAAGTTATATACCATTTTATAAAAAAGCAGGTTCACTGCCTAGGCAAACCTGAGGCAGTCTTGCTCTCTCAACCCTCTGCTCTGCCACTGTCTCCAGTTGCTCTTAGGCAGAGCCCTGGATGATCCCAGAGCCAGGCAGCTCTTAACAGGAGAGCCTTGCACAAACATGACAAGGGCTCCTTTGGACATGGCTGCCTGTGACTGCAAGGGCCTGGACCCAGGTGCTATCTCCTGGCCCTATGTTTGTAGAGGCTCGTCTCATGATCTGAAAGGCTGCTGTCCAGTTACAGAGTCATCTCCTAAACACAAAAGGCTGCGAAGTGGCAGCCCTCCACCAGCTCCCACAGAGGCATGCAGATTTACAGGTCTCTCATTAACAGCACAGTCCTAAAATATTCAGACTGAAGCAATGGCTTATTTCTTACTTGTCATTTAGCTGATGAAAACTGCACAGCTTCACCTCCCAGGGACCAGTGGGGCCATGTCTGCAAGGGAATGTCTGGAGGTAAACAAACTCTCAAGGGAGTTTTAGAAACATTTCATGGAAATATTTCTATGGCTCCATCCCAGAGGCATGGTGTTGCTGTGAGCTAGAATGAGCAGGTATATATCCGGGGACATTTCCCTCTACAAGAAGGCATCAGAACCATTCAGACGTATATCACGGGCCTTGTAAGACTTCTCTTGTGCTAGAGACCTGAAAGAACCAAGCTTGATCCCCACCATTTCAGTGAAGGTCTGGGTGGTGGCTGGAGTTATCACTAGATGCCTACTGGCTTCTTCAGGCCTGTCTGCCTTATGGGGTTGCTGCTGCAATAGCGTTGCTGGCAGAGCCCCCTCAGGGAGACACAGCGCATGGTGGCAGAAGAGATATTTCCAGCGGGTTTGTTCCATCACCTCCTCTGCAGCCAGAAGTCCCGTCCTGTCAGCCTAGTGGATCCACACAGCTGCTTGTCCAGCAGAGCTATGCAGCTAGAGAGTGTGATCTATGCATACACAGGCTGACACAGCTATACCAGCCAAACATAAGGCACAGACCAAGCCTTACTTTGCAGCTCTGATCAATGGGAAAGACAAGAGAAAGAAGAGCTTTTCTGGATCAGCGAGAACAGTTCGTAGTTGTTAAGATGACAACTGAAGTACCAGGAAGCACGAAGTGTTTACAAAGCTTTATGTGACCATTTCAACATATCCTGATCCTAGGAGGGGAAAGGAGTGTCTGTTTCTTTGGGTACCTCCCTCCTACCTTTTTGCATCAACTCAAACCTAATCCTGTGTTTCAGCAGCTCTACCAGGAGCAGCCAGCCCTGCCCAGGGGCTCAGGATCATACTCCAAGGCCTTACCTCTTCTCTTTCCTAACTGATCATCAGCTTGCACTTAGGCCGGGTCAGTGGAGACTCACCTAGTAACAAGAATTTCCTGCTGTCCCCATAGAGCTGTCTCAGGTTGATACAGAACTCGTGGATCGAAGCCCCGTTGCGATACTCGTGGAGAAGCATTGCAAACTGCTGGATCTCTTGGGACGAGAGCTTCGTTCTTAGCTGAGGAGGAGAAGCACAAGTCATGGATCAACCTCACTTTCAGAAGCAGAGAAGCCACTGCTAGCGAGAGGCTGACGATTCAAATGGAGAGACATCAAAGGGCACTCTACAAACAGGCCACGGGAACTGAACCTCTCACTTACAGACAGAACACACAGGATCTGTCCCTAGCGTATATCTGTAAGCATGTTATGGACCTGAGTGGTGCCTCACAACATATCCTGGTTAGCAAATGCAAAACCCACTGAAAAGCCCATTGAACATACATGTTTCACCTGGGTGGAAAGCTCAAACTAGCAAGCATCCAGGGCTGCCTGAGGGGAGACAGGAGATAAAGCCCAGAGAGCAGGGTGGGGTCCTGAGATGCCCACATGTCCTTTCACTGAATCATCGGCGTGGCTTTGACTTCTCCGCAACCCAGCAGGCAGCCCGCCCCAAGCTGTTTGATAAAACAGCTCTCAAACACCCCACGAGTCCTACTCTGCACATTTCCCAGAAAGGATGGGCCACCTACAACCCAGAGCAGTGCCCTGACCCGAGAACAGATGACTGCAAGGACAGAGCAGGAGCTCTCAGAAGGAACCAGGTGTGGGCAGCCCCAGGCAGAAGCTGCTGTTGGCATTTTAACCACCTGGTACAGAGGTATTAACTGCAAAGGCAGTGAGTATTTTCCTCTATAGCTTGCAGGTGAAAAGTACCTAATGCTCCCAAAGGAGGCTGCTAATTAATAAGCTTGACAAAGTCCATTAAGGCAACTCCTATTAACCCTGTTAATCCAGGGGCTGGCTCTGTAATTGTTCTCCAGATGACAACTTAATAGCGCCTTCCCAATCCGGTGGCCTCACTGCTGAAGCATCACGCATCACCAGAACCAATGCAGTTCATCTCCAAAGGTTTTAATTGAAAACAGCTTTCGCTCTAAGGAGGCAGACAGGAGACTGTACTCTAGCCACTTACCACCTGGGCCAGCATATGTTCACCTCGTACTTAGGTTCCTAATGGAAATTAGCCCAATGGCCTCTGAACCTAATCTCTACATGACCGCAAACTCATGTGATATGAGAGGAAACAGAGAGGGGTCCTTAACAGAGTGGACCTGTATGGTTGAATAACTGCCAGAGCTTTTCAGATTCAGTGCCTGGGGCTTGGAAATGTTCCCAAGAGTGCTGAGCCAGGCTGGCTCTAGCCTAATGAGATGCAAATGTCGCCCCATAAGCAGAAGCCGTGCTTCTGCCCCTGTCGGGATGTTCCTACCGTCATCATGTAGTCCTGTAGCAGCTCCGTCGCCGTGGTGCTCAGCTCACTTTCGCTAACTGTCTTAACGTGTGGAGACGGCTGTGTTGAGAAGGAAGTGGGGGAGTTGCCCCCTGTATCCAAGGACTCTGGGAAGGAACTGAAAGGCAAAGAGATGCATGAGTCCCCTTTAGCACACTGAGTGCAAGCCAGGCTTCACCCTGGGGGGTAACTGCAGGGGAAACAGAGAGCCTCAACGGCTTAGAACCGCATTTTCACTGAGCCCATGCCGTGGTGTGGAGTGGATCCCCAAAATCAAGCAGTTTGGGATTTTTTCAACAGCACAGCTCTCACTGAAAAATCCCAGCTTGTCAAAGCTGAGGCTGTTCATGGGAAAGGGACTGCCTCAGCAGGTTTCTGGACTCAGACAAAAGGCTTCAAAATCATCACCAAGACCCATTTGGACATTTTCACAATGGAAAATTGCAGTTTTCTCATTTGAAATGATGCTGATTTCAAAATTTCATTCTAGCCTAGGGGTCAGCAACTTTTTTGGCTGCAGTGCCAAAAGACACCAGCCTCGACCCACGCCTTGATCTGGTGTTCCAGGGGCAGACGGTGGGGGAGCTGCAAAGGGCCCAATCTTAGTTGCTGATGGCAAGTGCATGTGCACCTCCAGGCAGAGGGTGGGGGAGTGGCCAGGGTGGCACTGCCCTGGTCCCTTCCCCGCCATTGGCCCAGAGGCACATGCGCAGCTGCCGGCAGCCATGGAGCCCAGGATGCTCGCAACAGGAGGTGGGCAGGCTGCAAACAGCTGCACTGGTGTCCAAAGCCCCGGCACCAGCTCCATGGCAGTGGCAGCTGTGCACGCACCTTGGGGCACATGATGGGGAACAGGCTGAGGTTGCGCTGCCCCGGGACCCTTCCCCACTGTGCACCCCAAGGCACACATGCAATCGCATGGGGGCTCCAGACCCCAGTACAACTGCTTGCAGCCACCTGGTTGCCTGCCACAGCCGGCCTGGGCTCTGGGGAGATGCTGCCTGCCCTAGAGCCCAGGCTGTTTGCAGCAGAGCTTGCAGCCTCCTGGCCACCTGCTATGAGCAACCCTGGCTTGGCAGCAGCTGACCAAAGCTAACTCCTGTTCTAGCACAACATTTGTATCTGTAAAAGGCTAAAAATGACTGAAATTGAAATAAAATGTACTGAAATGTTCACAGAGTTAGCCTTGTCCTGACACAATTCTTCTTCGTTTCAGTTTTTCAGTCTGTGAAAAGAAAAGCTTTTCAACATTCTGGCTCGTCACAGTGGAAAAAAGAATTACCAAAATGTTGAAAACATTCAAGCCCCTTTCAACTCTTCCTGTTCAAGAGAAGGGAGATGTGTGTTATGGACGTCTCTGGAATATTGCAGGACAGTAAATTCACAAAAGAACACAAGCAGACAGACACTGGGGTGCTGCATACCGGCAGCAATGCTGGTGTCAAAGAATCTCAGCTGTCATTGCTGAAACCAGCTAGTGTGTAGATTTTAACAGATCCTTTTATGCTGTGAACCCAATATCAGGTCTATCTAAATCAACCAGAAGTCACATATGCCAAACTATCTTATACACTGTTCACCATCAACTTACAAAGTGCTTGCTTCTGTTTCGTAAGATTCTTTAATGTCCACTTTTGTAGAAGAGTCATCTGCAAGGAAGAGATTCCAGTCAAGAGATTTAAAGCCACAAATGCCATAGACTTCCTACCCTGCAGGTCACAAACATCCCCAGTGTCTTTAATGAGAGGGTGAGAAGGCATGCTAGACCGAGGGAAAAATGTGAATTCCCTGCTGATTTAAGACAGTATCTGGAGATCTAGAACGGGATCCAGAACAGGCTCAGTAGGGAAGATGAACTGCAAAGGGATGCAGTGCTGTTTTATTACACTGCTGCTGTCGATCAAAAAGGGGAAGGCAACAGAGCATGTGTGAAAAAACAGGTGCTACCCACAGCGTTTCTGGTTCCTAGGGTCTTTCAGCAGCACCCTGGCTGAACTGACAATCCCAAACTATAGCTGCCAGCAGCAGTCAGCTCTGGATCATTCAACTTCACATGGAAAACAGAGCAGAAAACTAGGAGGGGCTTTTATCAGCCCCTTCTGCTCTCCCTGCCTCTTCCAACCCCCGCTGGGCCAAAACTCATTAGAGACAGAGGCTCTGGTCAGAGCCACCAGTGTCCCAAAGCTGGGGCCATTTTGAGATGCATCACCTAGCTGTAGTTTGCAATATACCTTTGGGAGCTCCAGCAGTGAGAAGTTGCCAGGCAGGCCTATGATTGCTGGAAACTGGACTGCTATTTGGAACCAGTTTTCCCATCCTAAAAGCTGAAGAGTGACCTGGGAAATGACATGGCTGTGGGGAGCAGAGGAGTGTGACACAAGGGGTTGGGGCCTGGGTTAGAAGACCAGAGAGCAAGGGGAAGTGCTGCTGTACGTACCGCTGTGCAGGGACATGTGCCGCGTGGGTGTCGAGGCCCCATCAAATATTGCTCTGTCTAAGAAGTCGATGGTGGACTCAGTGTAAACAATCTGGAAGACTTGGCTCAGCAGTGAGCAGAGCTCCTCTGCGGTTACCTGAGCGGGGAGCAACAGGAGGGGTCAGACAGGGGCGGCTGCGCTGCACTATCAAAGAGATGGCGCTCCCCCAGGACACACAAACATACACTTTAGCCTCTTTAAAAGGGAGGAGGAGCAGCTGCTCAGAGCGTAACAGCTGCCAGGCGCTCCCAGTTACTGTGATCCTGCAGACACACAAGTGAGCTAAATCCCCATCAACGAAGCAGGGTTGCTTCGCTACAGCTGTATTGCCACAGAATCAAGCAGCTGTAACAGCTGCATTGCTTGAATCCATTATCCTACCATAGTAATGCAGCTGTTTCACCTGTCTATACCCTCTACTCATCCCCCAAAAGAGATGCACCGTGCATAACTCAGGTGTATTATTACCTGTATGTATAAGGGTATTGCATCACTCTTAGAGAACCCCACTGTTTCAAAAGGGAGGGATATAGGCTGCTTCTTTTGCAGAAGGAGCCAACTACCAGGACCAAAACGGCTAATTTTCTCTAGTACCTTGGTGCTTGCCATTAGGGGAAAGGCCAAAGAAGGAAGGAACCCTGTAACTGCCTTGTTTGCCAAACTAGGGACGTTTATACACACACCTTTTCACGCTGCAATACACTGCAGATCCAGCAAGTCACGGCAGACTCGATTAATTGAGTCTGCTCCACACGTGAGCTAACGCACACCGTGCTGTGTCGCTTGTGGTTGTACAAGCGGTGAAATGCATGTCAGCACAGAGAAAAAGAGTGGTGGTGTGCTTTTGAATTAAAACACTTTCAGTGTATTCTAGTTCAAAAGCGGACCGCCACCATTTTCTGTGCACTGGTGCACATTTCACCATTTATACAACTGCATGCATTGCAGTGCCGGGCGCTTTTCAAAGCACCTGGCGCTGTGGCACATGCATGTGTAAAAATGCCCTAGATGTTTCTGCACTGCGTGATTTCCCCCCTGCACATTTCAGAGAAAAGGATGAACAACAGAGACTGTTAGACCCCAAGCACCCAGCATGGTGTCAGACACACTCAGCTGAGCATTGCAGAGCTAATCAGACGCAATCTAATGACAGGAACGCAGGGCACAGCTGAACAAGGCATGCGGGACTAAATGATGTCATGACTATATTTATACCCCCATCCTATTCTCCTTCTCGGTCCACTGGGTTTAGAACTTGCCGTATCCGTTATTTTATCCACCTATCTATATATCTTGCTTATCTATCATTTTAACCCAGATTGCAAATGCTCAGGAGGTAGCAGCTCTCTGAAAGGCACCAGCACTCCTCTGGGAGTAGAACAAGATAGTCAGGCACTGGATCCATGCTGTTGCTACTACTCAGCTGCATCTTTGGGTGGGCAGGTGAAAAGCTCCGAGTCTGGAAGCACAAGGGCACAAATGTGCTGCTCCTCCCCACGCTGGCTTCCAAGAAAAGTCACTAATGCTGAGAGCACAGTGCTTTTCCTGGAACAAGACTGATTGCAGGGATAAAAGCTGCACCTTCAAATGCATTCAAGGGTCTGAGTCCATCTGCGAGCTTGGGACAGGAGGATGGAGCTTCCTTACTTGTACAGCTCCTAATCTGCTAAGGGAGCCTTAATGCACTGAGTACGGAGGTTAATAAATAATGCAGGATGCTACTGTGAAGGAATGCAAATATCCTCAGGGAAAGCAGTGCTACTATGGGTATTTCTTGATGGGGAAAGTATCTTCTCCTAAAACTGGGGGAAGGGTTAGCAAAAACATTGGATCCAAAGCTTACAGCACCCGGAGTTATGGGGGTACCTTGTAGCAGGCAATTCACAGCTTGTGTTGAGTCAGACTGCAATCTTAGTTATACCGTGTAAATATGGGCAAGTCCCCTGTGGCTAAGGCAGCTCTACAAAATCATAGAATCAGACAGCGAGGGTTGGGAGGGACCGCAGGAGGTCACATCTAGTCCAACCCCCTGCTCCAAGCAGGACCAGCCCCAACTACAGCATCCCAGCCAAGGCTTTGTTCAGCCAGGTTTTGAAAACTCCCAAGGATGGAGTTTCCACCACATCGCTGGGTAACCTGTTCCAGTGTTTTACTACCCTCCTAGTGAGAAAATTCTTCCAACTATCTAACCTCAACTTCCCTTGCTGCAGCTTGAGCCCATTGCTCCTTGTCCTGTAATCTGCCCCCACTGAGACCAGCCCAGCTCCATCCTCTTTGCAGCCCCCCTGCAGGGAGGTGAAGGCTGCTGTTCAATCCCCCTCGGTCTTCTCTTCTCTAGACTAAATAAACCCAGTTCCCTCAGTCTTTCCTCACAAGTTATGTCCCCCAGCCCCCAAACCATTTTCGTTGCCCTTCACTGAACTCTCTCCAGTGTGTCCACATCCTTTCTGTCATGGGGGGCCCACAACTGGACACAGGACTCCAGATGTGGCCTCCCCAGTGCTGAATAGAGGGGAAGAATCACTGCCCTGGACCTACTGGTGACGCAGCTACCAATGCAGCCCAGGATGCCGGTAGCCTTCTTGGCAACAAGGGCACACTGCTGGCTCCTATTCAGCTTATTGTCCCCTGTCCCCACCAGGTCCTTTTCTGCAGAGCTGCTGCCCAGCCAGTCACCCCCAGCCTGTCCTGGTGCATGGGATTGTTCTGTCCTAAATGCAGGACTTTGCACTTGTCCTTGTTGAACCTCATACGATTCTTTGGCCCAATCCTCCAATTTGTCAAGGTCACTCTGAATCCTAGCCCCACCCTCCAGTGTATCTGCTACTCCCCCCAGCTTGCTGTCGTCTGCAAACTTGCTGAGGGTGCACTCTGTGCCATCTTCCAGGTCACTGATGAAGACATTGAACAAAAACTGGCTGGATACAGGCTGGATTTGGAGACATCATCTACGCAGAACACACCCAGCCAGCCTTCCTGTTAATTGTGTAGGCAGCAGCCTCCATGCAAACTCAAGTACTATTTTTATCACGGCATTTTGACTGAAACGGCAATATCGGAGCAGAACATTTGGGGCATTCAGCCTTACTTTATTCTCTGTAGCCAGGACCACCAAACAGCAAGCTTCGACAGGTACCACTCCACTCTCCGACAGCGACCCAGATGTGAGGGCTTTGGAGCTTTCGGCACAGAGACTCTGACTTGGAGAAATCCCAGGGTCCTGAGCTGAGGAACAGAAAAGCCATTAATGAAAGAGGAAGGGGAGGAGAGCGTTCGGATGCGATTGCTCCCTGCTGTACTGGTGCTACCAGATCTGTACTGCTGCATAAAGAGATGCAGTGCAAGGCCTTGTGTCTCTAATCCATGCATACAAGCCAACCTCAGTGTGTTCTGGTGCCTTCCGAATGACACACAGCAGCCCTGACAGCCTACAACCAAAAAGCCAGGCCAGTGCAATTTAAAGCCCCCAGCTAATGTTGCACCAAGCTACCAGCACAGAGCAGCCAGCACTGTGGCATAAGACAGCCCTGCATTCTAGTAATTCTGTGAGTTTGGTCTGGCTGCCAGGTTAAGAGCTTTTGTGCATCACAAGCAGGGATTCTTGTGCGAGTGAACGTGAATAAGACACCCCCTCCTCCTTGAACAGAGAGGACTGAGGGGTGGGCACTGCACAGCAAGGTACTTCTTGGCCTCATGTTGCACACAACTCAGCCCTCCCTGTGTTCTTTGCTACTTGCCTTCTCTCCAATTCAGACTAATGGAAATGTTCAGGCAGGACCTCAGCCCGTAGGCTACACAGTGCCATGCACACCTATGTAGGGAGTCAGAAGAAAAGCAAGGGTAACATTGGACCCCTGCTAAACCAAATGGCACAACTGACAGCCAACTCCCAGGAAAAAGCTAACCTCCTTAATGGGTACTTTGCGTTGGTTTTTCATCAGCCCGAAGGGTCTGCCTTGCCTAGCAAGATGTGGGACGGCCAGGGTGAGGGTGAAAATATACAATAGACCTCGTAAAGGAACACCTTGAGAGGCTGGACACCTTCAAGTCAGCTGGTGCTGACAGATTACACCCCAGAGTACTTAAGGAGCTGGCAGGAGTCATAGCCTAACCACTGGCCAAGATTTTCGAAAACCCCTGGTGCAGTACCTGAAGACTGGAAGAGGGCCAATGTGGTGCCTATCTTCAAGAAAGGGAGGAAAGTAGATCCAGGGAACTACAGGCCCATCAGCTTGACCTCGATCCCTGGTAAGATTCTGGAAAAAATCATCAAAGAGTCCATTCTTGTCAAGCTGGCTGATGGCAACATCCTGAGGGATAGCCAGCACGGGTTTGTTGCAGGTAGGTTTTCCCTGACCAATCTCATCTCCTTCTACAACCAGGTGACCTATCACCTGGACAAGGGAGAAGAGATTGACATCACATATCTGGACTTCAAAAAAGCCTTTAACCTGGTGTCCCACAATCTCCTCTTGGAAAAATCGGCCAACTGTGGTCTCGGCTACCCCACAATCCGATGGCTGGAGAACTGGCTCTGAGACCAGACTCAGAGAGTGGTGGTCGACAGAAGCAAATCATCATGGCACTCCGTGTCCAGTGGTATCCCCCAAGGCTCCGTCCTTGGACCGGTTCTCTTCAACTTCTTTATCAACGATGTAGACATTGGTGTCAGAAGTAGACTGACCATGTTTGCCAATGACACCAAACTTTGGGACATAGCGTCCACACCGGAGGATAGGCTGGTGATCCAGGCTGACTTGTTGGAATCTTTGACCCCAGCTGACTTCCTGCTCTTGGGGCAGGAGTCTGGACTCGATGATCTCCCGAGGTCCCTTCCAGCCCTAATGTCCATGAAATCTATGAAACACTGGTTCTGCATGCAGGAACAGCCAGCACAGCAGCAGGGAGACTGCAGCACAGGAAAGTTCCCTGCTCATCCCTCCAGCTTAAAGGAGGGTATATGGTCTCCCTCCACCATCAGGGATCAATGCCTCATGCACAAAAGTGCAGGGGACCTGCTGGTGGCCATATACCTCCCTGCCTTCACACCAGTGCTGCTGGAGCTACATTCCCTGTTGGTTCTCTTGGGTGACTACAAAGGCAGGGGACTGGATGCCATGGCTGGGGTCCCTTCCAGCCCTATGTCCCTTGATATGAAAACAGAGTTGATGGCAAAGTAACTACTCAAGCTAATGCTGATGAACAGCCTTAGCTGGGGAACTGCTCAGACAGCAAGTGGAAGAAGGCAGCTGGATCATCCCTTCAGCTCAGCTCACATCCTGCAGACCCAGAGACTGAACTTCACAGGGAGCACATGCAGTAGTGGCACACAGTCTTTTTGGGTCTGATCCACTGGTTTCAGAGCCCATCTGATCCTGGCACGTGACAACCAACTTGTCTGATGGTCTTACTGTGGAGTGTGCCAGGAAAGCACAATGCTGTGGAAGTTCAATGGCTGCTTTCTGTGAGCTGAACACCTGCCCGGCTCGTGTATCTGACTAGCCCTTCTCTGCAGGGACCTTCCTCGTGCTGTTTTCAGGCTACAAAACCTTTTCTGTCCCCTCTCTCAAACTCTGCTGCAAGAAAACTGGCAGGCCTTTGGCATGACTGTGGCTGTCCAAACTACAAGGTGTTTCCAGGTGTTTGCAGGCACTGGATACAAAATGCACAATACCTGTTGCCCCAGGGCTGCAGCTGGGCTGTAACCCAACTGCTCCAGATGAAGAGCTAAGGCCACAACTAGCCTTCACCAGACCTGCACTTAAGCCTGATTCTTAGGATCAAAGGAAAACAGAAACCAACCATCTCCCTACCCTGATACTGGAGGCCATTCGTTGGCAAGGCCTGAGGACTGAGCAAGCTGGGTTTTCTGAATGTCCTCTCTCAGGGCTGGTAATCTGTCAACTTTCCAACCCTGCTTACGGTTTTATTTGCTGAGGCTGGGCAATGCCGTTCCACACCTCCAATCCAGACGGTATGAAAGGAGGCACTGAACGGACTGACCGACAAATGGGGTTTTGATCGCTGGTTAATTCACCACCTTGCGTGTTGTACTGCTGAGCTGTGCTCATGTATGTTCCACAAAGACCCAGCTGGAGGCAGCCAAGACGGCTGGGATCTGGCCTGCTCTGCTACACAAAAAGCCCCAGGCTGACTGCATGTCTCATGTCAGACACAGACAGGCTCGATTACCCCCGTGTCATGCAAGAACGAAGGACTTGCTCCTCGTTCTCCCAGGCCCGTCTGTAATGGCTCGCACCGAGGTACCAGACAGAAGCATGAGGAAGGCTCGGGGACTCAGCCAGCCTGCGGGGACTGCAAACACGCCAGGGAAGGGAGCACGGCTCCACCAGCCAGGAGAAGCAGCTCCACAAGAGGGAGCTCTCCATCGAGAGCGCCGAGCTCGGGTCCAGGACACAGCCTCACGCTACGGTAAAAAACAGACAAGGCTTGAGGCTGTAATTCCAGCAAACGTTTCTGACGACTCCCGCTAATTGCCAGCTTCACTTTGTGGTTTAGATGCTCCCGATCCATTGACAGAATTACAGCTGTGGAGTCCAGACCTTCATTTATTCTACATACTCTTCCCCCCTCACTGCCATTATATTTACTGAGGAAAAGAGATGCATCCCCCTACAGTCACCTGTGAAATGCTCAATTAAACACAGAACGGATGGCGAGGTTCCTGACTGTTTTCCAACTTTGACAACAGTCAGAAAGAATGCACAACACATGCACACGCATCTGCGCTGCTCCGACAGGCTGCCTGAAGTCTGGGAGGCAGGTACGTCCATTAAGATTGCAACACATTTTCCATTTCATCCAGAAATCAGCTGGATGCAACATGTGCTTTGGGCTTTTGACAGCACTTACCTGGCATTTTGAGTGCGAAAGCTGCAGTGAGTTCAGAGAGGCACAGCAGTAAGCCATTCACACAGGCTGAAATCTTCCCCATAAAAAAACAAATTCTATCACAACTCAGCTGTAGGTCTAACCTGATGGAACGCCTCATTTACGTGTGTTGGGAAAATGAACGGCTCCTCCCCCTCCAGCAAGTCAATTTAAGAGAAGAGCATTAGTAAAACGATTGCATCTTGGTAATTAAAGCATCTTACAGAGAAAATCCAAAGCATGCTGTGAACTACTCTGCATGACACTGACATTAACAGGGTGTAAAGCCCATCGCCGGACTTTAGCGGACGTCAGTTTAAAAGCCAATCCACGTTCCTCTCTGGAGACCACCTGAGTGAGGATGTCTCTGCCAACTCGGCAGTCCCTGCGCTAGTCGCAGCCTACCTGTTTTCAGCACCACCAGGTGGGAGGAGTCATCCCGGATGTATGACACCGATGCGATATCGTGGATGGGGACCCTGAGTATGATGTCTTCTCCATCCCTCCACACCAGCTTGATGTTGTAGGCAGACAGACTAATCACTGCGTCGTGCTCCTGGGTCAGCTGCCCTGGGAGCTGATGTGCTCTCTGTGACAAAGGAGTTTTCATTAACAAGTGGAAGGCTCCTTTCCCCTGTCATTAGCCCTGGTCAAGGCAGCATTGGGAAGAAGGGAACACCCACCTCCACTTCTCTGCTCCTTTCATGTGCCACTGACCTTAACTGAAACTACTAAAACATGCACAGTAAGCATCTAAAAATGAAACCCACTAGACACATATCACACATTTCAAGCAGCCACTCAAACTTGCTTAAGATTTCCCCCTCACCCCTATAACTTGAGTCATTTATCCTTGTACTGTCAACCTTTGATCTCTCTGCTCTGCAGCCTCCATGTCTGGAGTACTGCATACATATATAAAACAAGAACAGTAGGGACAGAGGAGCTAGCAGAGTTCACTCGACAAAAGTTCAGGCTGGAGTGTATAAATGGCCTGGTACTCACCTTGGCATTATCTATTAAATGAAGGATTTCAGTACGACTGGAGGGATTCAGGTATCCAGGGACAGATGTTAATTGGCCTAAATACTGGGAAGGGAAAAAAAATCCGTTACCAGGTGCTGCACGCACCCCACAGTGAAATCTCTCCACAGTCACGGAAAATGTGAATTTAAAGATAAATACCAACTAGGAAGCCATATCTTAAGCTCAGTCTAAAAGCAATCCAGGCCAGCTGTTGCCTTGATGCTACATTTAGAAACCTTTGGAGAACTACTTGAGACAGAAGACTTCCGATGAGGCCAGGCAGGGCTTTCACTATTACTACAAGCTGGTATCCAAGAGCTGAAATTCAATCTGGTGGCCAAAAAGCAATCATCCAAGTCTCAAGGTATACAGCCAGCAGAGCCTTACAAACAGCTATCATTCTCCCAAAGCAGCTGTTAAAGCAACCAGCAAGCAGGATGTCCTTCCAGCTGGCCTGTGTGTGGCAGGACTGTGCTACACCATTTCACAGCTCTCAGCTGGGCTGTACTCCAAAGCACTTTCCATGAGTTAAATACACTTAGGAGATTAGCTAAGGACCAGGAAGCAAAACATAAATATCCTTTCAACTAAGTTCTAGAAGTGGACAAGGCCAGTGGCTCTTCTAGAGAGCAGAAGCTATAGAGAAAAGCGGCTCTTGTCTTAAATTTGGCACGGCCAGGGGTTACACACAACACCGAGCATTGCATGCGCCTCCATTGCATGGCAAAGGGATAGGCATTTGCCGGGGCCCACAGGCCACATGTTAACCGTGCATGGCCTACGCGAGGGCCAGGGGTCACAGGCTGTCCCCTCGCAAGTCACGTGGCTGCCTTGCCTTAAACGAACAGCGATGTGGTTTGCAAAGGAGCACACAAATGCACACACACTTGCTCCGTTCAATCAGCTAGGGGAAGGCCTCTGAAATTTTGAACTGGGTCCTCAGATGAATGAATGGGGGAGCCTCTGGAGCAGTCTGAAGATGGAAATGATGTGGCTGTGCTTTATCCTTCGCGCTGTGTTGGCAAGACCCACTGAGGAAAATCCTGGGAATGTCTTGATGGCAGGGCCCTTTTGGGAAAGGAAAACACACTCGCGTGGAAAGCTGAACTGAGGGCACAATTTCAGACAAGGGTGAACACCAAAGGCCTCTTGTACTGTGCACTGCAGCAAAACAATCCCCTCCCCATCACACTCGCACATCAGACAGGAGGATGAAGTTGAGAGAAGGATGAAAGAGATCCTGTCCCTTGCCTCCCAAGTTACCTTAACTTCCTTTTCGATGTAGTCATTCAGCAGTATGTCTGGTTCAACTCGATCGGGCAAGGACAGCACGACGGTGTGAAGCGGGCGTCTCTCAGTAACCTTCTCCTGGGCCTTTTTATCCCGTCCCTTCTCGCCTTTCAAGAAGACTCGTTTGAAAGGGGACACGATTCCAGGCTGCTGGCAGAAACAGAAATGGGTTAGGGCTAGGCTTTGCATGATCTGCAATCTGCAAGCAAACGAAGCCTCTTGACAGACCCGTCGCAGGGAATGAGAGGCTGACTATCAGACTCCAGGCGCAGTGGAAGCGGGCACTGGGCGCTCTCTGTTCCAGCGTGCCAAGCAGAGATGAGGTGTGCCGCCTCTCCCCTGAAAGACCTCATTATTCACCTGTTCCCACAGCCTTACTGAAATGAACGGCTGGTTCTCCTCCAGGTGCGCAGCGATGCTAGAGCGAAAAAGGAAGGACACAAAATCAGCTTTCAGTCCCTGTCTTTTGGGAGACTGAGAACGCTGCAGTGGCTCTAAGCATTTGGGATTTAGAGCGCAGCGTTATAAGCAACCCGGAGGGCTGCACAAAGCCCTCCATGCTCCCCCCACCCCATCCAACCACAGACATTTCTCCTGGGTTTGGATGCATTTCCTGCAGACTCCACTTCTACAAAAGGATGCTTTCACTGCTGTCCTAGAAGAGGCACCTCTGCTCTCACACACAGCCTCTATCCTTCTTTGCCTATTGCCTTCGCAAGGGTCAACTGCCAGATCACGGCTGCGAAGCAGCACCGTTTTGTTTCGACATCCATTTTGCCATTTCAAAGGGCCAGTGTTTCATTTCATCGTTTCGAAGCACTGTCCCGTTTCGTTTTGTTGAAACTGCTTCGCGCCCATAGGCTGTAACGAGGAATCATGAAAACGCCTAAAACTTTGTCATTCCTTGCCTGACTTGGATGAAAATTGCAGGGATGGTAGCCCCTTCCGAGGGCATGAAACCTGCCATGTTTCAAGGAGACAGGTGAAGAGGTTTCTGGGAAACTGCACCTCAAACTGTTCAGGGCGGCGGCAGCCTCCTCTCATCCGGCGCGCCGATCCGAGGGCCCGCACCCCCGGGAGGGCTGCAGGGCTGTGCCGGACTCCTCCTGGGGGCGCAGGCCCCCGGATCTGCGCACCAGACGATAGGAGGCTGCCACTGCCACCTGGGACTTGCTGGCAGCGGCAGCCTCCTCTCATCCGGCGCGCCGATCCGAGGGCCCGCACCCCCGGGAGGGCTGCAGGGCTGTGCCGGACTCCTCCTGGGGGCGCAGGCCCCCGGATCTGCGCACCAGACGATAGGAGGCTGCCACTGCCACCTGGGACTGAAGCCAGTAAGCCCGGCTTTGAAACTCAAAACATTTTGAAACTTTCAAAATTTTCGAGTGCCCTCGTTTCGTTTCGAAGCCTTTCACTTCAATTTCGCTGTTTCGAGCTCAAAATGCATTGAAACAACTTTGAAATGAAACACCCGGCAAAATTTTGCACAGCCCTAATGGCTGGATGTTCACACAGCTGCTACGGTCCTCTTTTAGGGGGGTGTACCCCAACGGCAAGATGGGTACAACTGGTGAAAATAACCCATAGTACATTAAAGCTAGGGAGGCAATGCAGGACTTGAGTCTGAATGTGGGGTGATATTCTTTCCAGGAACGCATGACACAACAGCGCTAAATGTTAAGTGTTCATCATGACAACTGAGTACTTCCCTTTCAAGAGATAATTTACCACGCTGCACTTCCAAGCATATAAATACGTATGTTAAAATGGATGGCTCTGGATGTAGTTATGCCACCGCCAATGGCAGCCGTATGCAATTTTATGATCCATCCAAACATAAGCAATAGGGATTTTGTCCTAAAGCAATCAGAGCTCTGACATTATGGGACATTCCTCTCCTCCTAACGGCTTCCTCGTGACTTTGAAGGTCTTCGAAATCCAAAAATAAAGTATTGCTAGCTCAAGCTGGGGTCTGGAAAAACACAACCCAAGCAGAGTTGTTCTTGTCTTTTTAAAATCACTTGTGATAATAGAGGCTCTGTGATCAGAAAGGAGCTCAATTATACTGCAGACTTGTGCAAGGCAGAACAGAATCCAGCTTGTTCTCCCGGGCTGTACTCGCCCGGCAGCGCTAAGGACTTGTTTGTGTGAATAAACCAAAAAGATCTGACCCACAAAGGCAGGGAGAAGACACCAAGTCAGAGAGAGCTATTCTACAAGGCAGCTTGGCCGACTAGGGTGACACTAACTGGCTGCCATCTGTTAGCAACAAATGTCTATGATCGTGTTCAGTTTTATTCCTTTTCATGTTCTCCAATAAGCTGCTTCTGCTCGAATAGGAACGTGCTGGGCAAAAAGAATCATTTGAGGGCATTCAAGGTAAACCCGAGGTGCCCTGCAGGACAAGCTGCTGCAGTAGGAAAGGAGGTAAATTTTTAAAGTTCATTAGCGGCCCCAGATAATGGCTTGTTTGGCTCTCAAGCTGATGCAGACGAAGCCTCGGATCTAGCAGGAAGGCGAAGAGAAGCAGCAGCATTTCCAGGGTAAACACCGCCTCGAAGTAAAAAGAAGCCATCAGCTAGAGTCCTTTGTGATTAGACTGGCTTACCAGGTGGCAAAGCTGTCCCGATCCTCACTGTGTACCCGGCCATCAGCCGCCAAGGGAAATACCTGGTGGGGGTTACCACCACCTCTCTGAGGCTCTGGTCGTCACCCCTGGGCCAGACGGTGCCCGGCACTTCTGAGAGCCAGCCGTTTACTGCAGTCCCCATCTGACCCCCCTGATAACACCTATTCGCTCACCCTTACCGCAACTCCCAACTCTGCTTTCCTGCTGCACGGGCCAGTCTGCACTACTAACAGGGAGCTGGTTGTGCCTCAGTCTAAGCCACATTTGCGGTGAAGCCAGAGTGGGGGGCATGAACGCGGCACAAATGCTTGCAAGTCAGGACATAAGGGTAATGCAATGATGCAAGGGTGGCAAACACCCTGGATTCCCAGGGGTGCATCCCTCGAAGAGGGGAAAGCCGGGCAGGTGCTCCCAGGGCTTGTGTGGCTTGATCCCAAGTGGGAATTTCCTGGATGTGCAGGATTGGGCCCCTCAAGCACCTGCCCAGGACAGCTGGAGAGTGCAGGCAGCTTTTGGCCTCTCCAGCTATAAAGCAAACAGATGTCTGCCACTAACGAGCAGCACATGATCACCTCTGTGCGAGCCACAAATCTGGGGCATTTGTGGCATAACAAGAGGCACAGACATCCGTGTGCTCGGCCTCGGTGACGCCGTAGAAGTGTTTATGGCAGAAAAAAGGAGATGAAAGGCGACTCATTAGACTCCACCCTAAGTGGCTTACAAGCACAAGTCTCCTTTCATCGTTTTTTAAAGCAAAGCGTAAGTTCCTCAATCACTCGGACACCGTGAAAGTTTAACTCTGTGTTTACCAACAGTGAAGCAGTCCCGACAGCAGGGACACGCAGATCTCCGGCTGTAGCCGCTGGATCGCCACCATGGTCTGTGTGACAGTACGCTGTAGGCATGTGCAGCACCAAACCACACACAAATGCACCCTAGAGACCCAGGGATATTACTGAGATAGTTGGAGCATGAGAGACGGACACAGGAGCCCTGTACCAGCTCCTTACTGTAACAGCAGCCGTGCAGACATGCACACAACTCCTAGTCCAGGTGAACAAACAGTTCATGACCCAGTAAACCCCAGTAGTTATCATCTTCAGCTGCATGACTCTCCCTGCTTGCAGTTTCCTGCAGAAGGGCAGGACGCCGAGGTTGCGACCTTTCAGAGAGGAGCTGTTTGCTGAGGTGTGCGTTTGCTCCCCGTGCTGGCTTCCCCCGCCCTCCCTGGCTCAAAGCAGTGCCTTGCACATCAGCCACGTTCCAGCTGGCTCAGCAAACAGAGGCTCAGCGTTGCTGCGAGACGGTCAGCGAGGGCACTTTGTATTGCAGTGCCTGGTAGAGCTGCAGTGCCCGGCCCCGGTGAGGATGGGGCTAAGCACCCCTGGCCCAGACCCTGCCCTCCAAAGCCACAGGAAAAGCATCCGAACCAGAAGCAGGCAACGAGGCTGCTCCAGCCTGTGCAGACACTGCCTCTAACTTCTGGGTCCGGTGTACAAGCTCAGGTGGGTGGGCTGGGGGGAGTGGGCTCAGCCCCATCCTCATTGGCACTGGCTGGGGCAATGGTGTAGACGAGCCCGTGGGGTAAGTGGAAAGCAAGCCAATCAACGTCAATGCCAGGATCCCCGCCTCCACAGTGGGGAGAATATGCCCCTTTGAACAACCCCACCTTAAAACTGTCCCTGCTGGGGTGGCCGTGCTCACTTCCCCTGGCTTCTGGCTGTAAAGCCCTGTGCCTACCCGGGCCAAACTGCAGTGCAGCGCTACCTCCCGAGGGTGTGGAGAGGCTTCGTTCGTTAGCATGTACAAAATACATTGTGTTCTCAGGTGACGCAGAACGGGACGCTCTATTCCTTGCAATAATGTCAGCCAGTTAATTGTCCACCCCTCCACCCCACACAGCATCCAATTTCACAGTCAAAAAAGAGCCGGTTAAGACTATATGTTGCAGGACCCTTTGTCTTCCTTCTCTGACCCCTGTTCTGATTTATGCTTGCCCTGTGGAGCAAGTTGAGTTTTACTGAAATGCAGACACGGTGGTTAGGACTGCCCAGCTTCACGCTGGTTCCTGTTTCACATTGGACGAGTAGGCAAGTCCAGTCGGATAAAAACCCTACGACTCCTTCAGAGAGCGCTGCTCAGTGCAAACACAGAAGGAAAGGTCCCGTTTCTGCAAAATCTACCAGCCCCATGCTGTGCTGGACACGATGCAGACATAAAGGTATAATCCCTGTCCTGAGGATCTGATAGGCAAGCCATGAAACCAAGACCAGGGGGAGCGGGCAGGTGGGATGGGAACAAGAGTGACAGCTAAGGGATGGCAGATCTCCTGCAGTGGATTGGCACAAACCTTGCTGGACATCTGCTCTTTCCTCCCAACAGCAGCAGAGAGGGAAGAACATGATCGAACCACGTGCACCCTTTGAAAAGGTGACCTCCCTCCAATGACTCGAAAACCATTTTCCTCAACACCGCCAGGAGTGCAGGGAGCCCTCTAAAAGGATCCAGCTTCCTGACTCTGGGAGGCTTCAAGCCCTGCGGTCACTGAAAATATTGCCCAAGTATGAAATGTAGCTCTCCAAGTCTCCTGTAAGTACATAAGGCAAGAGAAGAAATGTCTGCACTACATGCAAACTGAGGAGGCCAAAAAGAAAGCAGTCCCACAGGCTGGCCACAAAAACATATACAACACCAGTATCTGAAAAAAAATAAGCCCCAAAGATCATTGTATAAAGAGACTTTGATATTATATCTTTAAGACATAGAGAGAGTATACTTAACTAGAGACTGAATCTGCCAACCAGGTTCAGCATTGTACCCAAGACGATCTCTCAACTAGGATGCGCGCACACTCCCTTACAGGCAGGACCCCGACAGCTTCGGAAATATTAGACAGCTGTAGCCAGGTGATCCAATCTACTGCCAGCATCCTAGAAAACACTCTTAGCTTTTCCCTCTCAACTTCATCCAGGCTGCAGACAGGTAAGAGGACATGTGAGAAGCATTTTTGCTCCTAACAAATGTTCAGCTTCATGGGCCGCTGTCTGGGCTTAAAGGGAGAACTGCAAATTCTCACGACTAGCAGAAAGGGCCTGAATTTTGCTTTCTGAAAGCCTGTCTGAAAAGAGGCAGATACAGCGAGGAACCCAAGAGCTGCTGAACTACAAAGGCTACTTGTAGTCGATCCACAACCCGCACCTACCTCGTTCTCCATGTACGAACCCGGCTAGGATGAGCAGAGCAAAACACGTTGCTGCAGCCACTTCTCTACCTCGTTCCCCCCAACCGCGTGGCTAGTCACTGTGCTGTAATGGGCTGTCAGAGGGCTGTCGCATCAACCCGCGGGCCCAGGAGCAACTGTCATTTCACTCTTCGCCAAAAGTATGAGCCGGAAGTGGATTAACCACAGTTTCCTTCTGCAAAACACACTCGTACAGAAAAAGAGCAAAAAATAAAGCTGTTGATGAGAACAAAAAGCTTTAAGGGAAGAACTCAGGTGAACAATTCTGAGCTCTCCTTCGCTTTGCCACCCACCAGAGAAGGAGAGCGCCTTTCTCTCTGCCCCTAAGTCGAGAGAAGTCAGCTAGGTGGCTCTTGCTAGCGGGCCCTAGTTTGCAGCTAGATAGGCAAAGCAGGGTGGATGGAAATACCCTCACACCTGAGGCCTTTTAACACCACTTCCCCCTTGCATGTGTCAGCTGTACTACAACAACTTCACCCTTTAAGGTACTAGTAAGATTTTTCACCCCAACAGCCGTGAAGTTCTGCCCTGGCCTAATTTATCAGCCTCGGTCTATAGGACCCTTCTCTACATTACAAAAAAACCCAATCTGCCAGTCCTTGAAAAACAGGTCAGGCCCCAAATGACAGGAGCATTCATAAGCTTTTGCAAACCATGGAATGGGGACTCGGATGTGCTGCAAATTATCTGTGTGCAATTTCACATACAGAGAAACAAATTAAAAACCTGAACGCTGCTATTCCCTAACGCGAGGTGCTCATTAAACCAGGGCAGGCGAGAGCTCCTTTGAGATTTGTTTGGGCAGCATGTACCCTTGAGGGCTTAGGCCCACCTGCCTGACCATGGGCTGCTGGTCATCTTGCACATATCAGGAGCAGGCAAGAGGGAAGTGAGTCAGCGGGGAAGCTCAGGGAGGCTACCTTTGCATCTGACTTATCAGACCAAGTCTTTTTAGCCAACGAAGCACATGAAGGCAGCCGCTTCCATGCTCTTGCTAGATACAGCTCGTGATTTCTCCTTGTACGGCAAACCTGCATGTACGTTTTGGGGAGGGGGCTGTAATTGCCCCACGAGATCACTCAGGGGACCAACGAAGGTCATTACCAAACACATGCTCCTGTGATTAGGATCTTGAAAGCTGTCATTTCTCAGGCCACCGCCCTTAGCTGCTTCCTGCCAGCTTCCGTGGTATATCCCGGGGATGAGTCAGGGTGTTGCAAGAGAGGACCTCGAGTAAGTGTCTACTGCCAAAGGCACTTGGACCGGGACCAAGGGATCTACTCAGAAGACAACTGTTGAAAAGACAGCCTTTTAATCTCCTTGGAAAAACGGCAACTGAAAAGGGGCTGATGAAAATCAAAGTAAACCCACCCAAGAGTAAGTAGCAGTCACTGCAAGGCCACTGTGAAGAATCGGGTGAGAAATCACTGGCCAGTGGCCAGCAGGTACGCGGACAATGGGACAACCACGAGTGATACCCTTGTTGCCCCTCTCAGGAGAGGGGCCTTAGGCACTAACCTACCCTTTGGTCCTGGGACGATCCTGCCAGCTCAAAGCTGAGGGCCCTGCGTGAGCTTACCTATTGCAGGGAAACAGGCAGGACAGACGTTCTCCTTGCCAGAAGCCAGCACTGTACAGATACTTTGGATAGATAACCAGTCTCCGTGGTGGTCAGTTAGGCATCCTGCATGGCTAGCCTTTTAAAGACACACTATATAGCTGGGAGAGATGTTAGATGCACACAAAACACCTTCCCAGGGCTAGGAAGGAAACAGATCCAGCCTACGACCCACTTTCCCAGCCCTGAGGAAGAGCATTTGGTGCCCCAAAGCTGATCAAGCACCTCCCCCAACGATCCAGTTGGTCCAGTTACCTTGTCCCACAAATCTTGCCTCTCAGCTATTCCCCGGGCCAGTGGGGGCCAACCTTTTTAGCAGGTTGCTAAAAACTAGCCCCAAGCCCTCCTCAAGTGCCACTCCAATCCCTTTGCCTCTCCTGATCTGCTGCTCAACTTTCTGCTCCCAGCCCTGTGCTCCCTGCCTGATCTCTTACTCTGCTTTCCGCTCTCAGCCCTCTGGGTCGTTCCCTCTCCGATCTGCCACGTGCCACACACGGAGGCTGCCCGTGCCACAAGTTGCCCGCCCCAGCCCTGGGCCGTCACGGCTACGACACTACTATTGCAAACGCTTTCACCGTTTAGAAAATGAAACACAGCGGACAGGGAAGCAGTTGGACCGTGGTACTGTGTATGCAGGACAACCCCTTCTGAATAGACACCGCTCAGCACGGCCACCTGACATTTCAGACAAATTCTTCACCATTCATCACCTGAAAGAGCAATGCTGCAAGAGGCATGATGGAGGAGTCGCTGATGGAAAATGTAGCTTGCCGCTTAGAGCAACATCAGAGCTCAGAAGCAGAGCCTGTGGAGGCCATGGCAAAATATGACCTGATAATTGTATTCTACCTACCCAGCTACTGCTTCAAATCAGAAAACACCTGTTCTCCACCTCCTGGCCTGAATCGTTATACAACCGTGCGGCAGCGCTTCTGATCGGTGACTGAGTTCACCTTAAAGCACGGCTTCATTTTATCAGCAAGTTGATTCAAGAGGGCAAAGCTCCGAGGATGGTGCTCGACGCACAACACACGCCTTTCCAAAGGGTTAGGCCCTCATCCAAGCTTCCTGTGTTTGCTTCATTTTGCCCCTTTCTTTCACAGAGATCAAGCACCCTCCTATTTAATTACCATCCAGCTGGTTTGCAACAGGAACCGTCTACCAGATGGATCATGTTCTTGCAAACAAACTGGGAGAGAACAAAGTCTTAATGGCTTTGGCATGCAAAGCCAAATAGATCCGCACAGAAAACCTCCCAAAGCAGGCACGCAGCCCCAAGAAGGACTCTGCTGGCTTGTCTGCCTTTTTATTTTTTATGGGGTCAGCTCGCTCGATGTATGTGCGCGCACATCTCGCCAACAGGAACAGACCAGGATTAGCGAGTAATCAGAGTATATAAAAAACAGCCCATGCACGTGAAGAATGGGAACATATTACAAAAAGCTTATACATCTTTTATGCTAGCTCTGCTTGGTGTCTAGGTTGCCTGATCTAGCACAGAGGGACGCCAGATGCATAAGGAAACTTGCAGTTTTGTTAATGTTTCGTAACGACTATAAATAAACCCCCTAATTAATAATGGTTCCTACCCACGGTCTGGATGGATACTGAAAGTAAAGCTCTGCCATCTGTACTACAACGATGCTGACACTTTGCATTGAGGCCTAATTGCAGTAGGTACTACGTGAACACTGTAAATGGCATGTCTTCTTTAAAATGGAATAGATTTTAAACAAAGCCACTAAACAATAAATCTGCTGTGGTCTTTACACAGATTTTTCCCATGCCGCTGTCATTACAGATTTATTCTTCAACACTTTCTGAACCTAAACACATACCCCGTGGAGGGCGTCACCCAGATGCTTCTGCGCTCAAAAGGAAAGAAGCCATCTCAGTCTTTTCCATAACCCGCTGGCAAGAGAAAGTCAAGTAATCTTCATCCTTCTAGCCCTTGGGATAACAGCCGTCAATCTCAAACTGCTACAGAAATCTGTAGCCTGTCTCCAAAGTGGCACAGGCATTGGAGATACGTTCCCTGGATCTCTCTAAGGCTCTCGCTCTCCAAAGCACTCTCTTTCTCCAGAAGCCCAGGAAAATCCCGCGAGAGTTTACAAGCCTTCGTCTCACCGAGGTCTGCCTCAGTCTCTTATGCAGAGGCAGAATCGCAGTTTAAAGCAGGTAGCCAGTAGCTCAATGCAAGCTCCGCATGGCCTCTGGGTGTGACAAGTGATCCCCATTGCAGAGCCATGCAGCCTGGCATGGTGAGCTAAACGCTAGCCCTAGTAGTAAAACTAGAGCAGCTGGAGGTTCAGCAACATGCAATCATGGAGTACAGCAAGCTGGGATTATTTTCCAAGTTAGGAAATGATTAGACTGGGACGGAGGTAATCCAACCGGCACTTTCTCCGCTTTCTTCTTCACCAAGTGGCTCCCCAAATGGCACAGCTATGGTGACTGGGCCCTTCGCTGGCCCTGCAGCCCAGTTGGAGCCCTCAAGGCCACCATGAACTTCCCCCAAGCACACACGGAGCAGCTCTGATCTGCTTTGCTTGGAGGGGGAACAGGTACGACCTGCAGGCAGACAGCACGTGGTGAAATGCCCTGCACAGATCTGCAGGCCACTGCTGGCACATTTGCTGGCACACCCTACTCCTGGGGATATCCTGGCCTGGACAGCTGAGATCACAGAATCACAGACAATGAGGGCTGAAGGGACCTCAGGGGGTCACATCTAGTCCAACCCCCTGCTCCAAGCAGGACCAGCCCCAACTACATCATCCCAGCCTAGGCTTTGTCTAGCCGGGTCTTGAAAACCTCCAAGGATGGAGATTGCACCACCTCTCTGGGGTGCGCACCCCTGCGCTGTGTGTACAGACACATACTACCCCTACTAATATCTACATCTCCCCCACGCTGCTCGAATCCCTTGCTTTGGACCCTGTTCAAAGCACAGGGTTTCATGCACTGGAAGACAGTCTCCTGCCCCGGAGTTTACCAGGCAGTTTAAAACCACAAAACACGTTCTTTTGCCCTGTGTCCCCTGTTCCCTCCCGCTAAGCAGAGACCCAGCAGCTCAGAGACTGACCAGGCAAAAGAGGCCTGAAATATCGTTTAGTCCCGATCTCCCAGTGCTAAGAGGTAGGTAAGCATTGTCCCACTTTACACCCAGGAGACTGACGTACAGGAATTCAGCTGCCTGATCACAAGGGCTCTCATCTGGGAACTTATTAGTTCCTGTGCAAGGAACAATCACCCAAGTCAGGGCTAAATCAAAGTCATTCTCAGCTGGCCAGACATTGCTGGTAAAGCATAGAAATGCTGCCCTTGCTTCCTGATTCAGAGCAGGAGCAGCAGAGCAAATCCAAGCTCCTTAAACTCACACTCTGCCACTGGAGAAAACAAAAATATAGACCGCTAGATTCTCAACCCGGGTGCCGTGGCACCCTGGGGTGCCTTGAGATCCTTTCAAGGGTGCCACGAAATGGTAGCCCTGTTAGGTATGCAAACATGATTCACAAGATAAACCCAGAGGGCACCTATACACGTGATGCACCTCTGCGCCAATGTGTGCTAATTAGCATGCGTTGGAGCAGCCTTGATTAATTGAGTCTGCTGCGAGTCTGCTGGAGCGTGCTAATTAGCACGCTCCAGCCGCCTCCGTGTCAAGTGTATTCAGCATCCCCGAATGAGCTTTAGTTAAAGCACCCCTGCTGCCATTTTGAAACGTGGGATGCTGAATACACATGACACTGCAGGCACTTTAATTAGGGCGGCTCTAATTACAGCGCCCTTGCCACCCTGGAGCACATGTATAGAGGTCCAGAGATTTCAAATATGAATCCAGGGTGTTAAAAGCATTCTGCCCTGCTGTGGGCTGGCTGAGTTCTTGGCAACAAAATCATTGCTTTTTTTTTTGCGTAGTCAAAAAGAGTGAAAATTAAGAGCTGGCATTTTCTGAGGGGGCCTCGAGCCTGTTGATGGGTGGCTTGAGTTTAAAACGGGTGGGAATCGCCGTGCTGGACTGTCTGCCAGCAGACTGAGGAGGACAGCGATGACGATCCTTCGCGCAGACTCTGCTACAAATTACATATAAGCCGATAGCGGCAAACCAAGCACCTTACACCCTTTCCCCAAGGAAATATTCTGATGCTCTACCGATGAATGGATGTTTAAGATTAAATTGTTTCCTTAATCTTATGTAAAGAAGATTTGCAAAAAACTGCTTCTACGCTAAACTATTTCTCTTCAATTAAAGTCCAATGTGGACTTCTATGCAAATTAGCTTTAGCTCGTGGTGCAAGACTTTTCATTCACTAAATTAGGACCTTGGGGCCGGCCTACAAAACTGTACTGATGTACAAGAAAGGCTGGCGCTGCATTTTTATCTGCACAAACAGAAGATATTGTGCTCGGCAGGAGTTCAGATCAACTCGCCTTGACACCAAGGAATTTATCGGAAATAACCGCAGCTTATAAACTCATAGATAAGTCAAGTGAGAGCCCTTAGGAGACACTCATCAAAAGAAAAATAATTGACTGATCAGAGCCCAAAAGCTATCAAAACAGACTGAAAAGCTAGACATCTCCACCAATAAACTCCTGTAGTGACTCAACCTACAGCCTAGGAAGAACCTAACTCCAGCCAAAATACTAGAAGAGGTATTTGGGAGGCCGAAATGCCAACGGCTAGGAACTCACATAATGAATTTTCAGTAATTGAGGTTATGGTTCTGCCATGGCAATTGCAGCCCATTCATTTAAAGAAATTCTGGGATGCACATGGGGCCCTGTAGATGCCATTCAGCCCAAGATGCTGGCCTACAGGCAAGAACTGGGGCATCAGCAATTCAAGCCACAGCTCCCGTGGAACCAGGCAGGGAAATGGAAATGCCCCCTGCACGATGAGGGTTGGTCTATAGGAAAGAAAGGAGGCATGCCAACTGCCATGAAACAGTGCAGAAGGGAAACATCCCCTGGAGGTTATAGGAAGGTGTTTTATGTCAGTACAGTTTTATTTTCTCTGCCATGAAAATGTCTGTGGCAAAATCATCCTCGTACTCATGACACTGGCTCTGGGTTCAGCAAACCATTGGGGTGTGGGATTGCCCGGGGGAAGCAGACACTCCTCTCACAAATGGCTACGTGCATCACTCGCGTATGCCATGACGTACGCAGGACTGAAGGACGGTCCCGGCACAACCGGAGGAGGCCCCACCTCCGAAGGGCAGTTCTCCCTCGGTCAGGGAGAGAAGAAGCCACAAGCTGTCCAGCACCTTCCTCTGTGGCTGACACCTCCCCAAAGCGGAAGGACAAGTGTGGGCAAGAGGGAGCCCTTGGTCTGGATCCAGCACAGAGTGAATTTAACACCCTTGTGCTGTGACAGCAGGTCCGTGGCAACATTAAGGCATCAGAAGAAACTAAACCAAGGAGACAAAAGGAAGCAATGCAGCCAGCCTCCCATCTGGCCACCTCTGACTTCCCCACCTAATAGACCTGGTCCCATGTGCAGCAGGGTCAGCTGCGGGCAGCCTTTCAACGCGAGTCCACGGCACGCCTCTGGAGTCACAGCAAGACCTTGCTCTGGCACCTTGGCCCCACAGTGTTAGGAACCACAGAATTAGAAAAAACTACTGTTGGAAGGAACTGCAGGAGGGCACATTTAGTCCAACGTCCCACTCCAAGCAGGATCAGCCCCAACTACACCGTCCCACCCAGGGCTCTGTCTAGCCAGGTCTTCAAGCCTCCAAGGATGGAGACTCCACCACCTCCCTGGGTAACCTATTCCAGTGCTTCACCACCCTCCTTGTGAGAAAGTTTTTCCCAATACCCAACCTCAACTTCCCTTGCTGCAACTTGAGCCCATTGCTCCTTGTCCTGTCATCTGCCCCCTCTGAGAATAGCCCAGCTCCATCCTCTTTGCAACCCCCTTGCAAGGAGGTGAAGGCTGCTATTCAATCCCCCTCGGTCTTCTCTACTCCAGACTAAATCTGCCCAGTTCCCTCAGCCTCTCCTCACAAGTCCTGTCCCCCAGCCCCCAAACCATTTTCACTGCCTGCTGCTGGACTCTCTCCAATGTGACCACATCCTTTCTGTCATGCAGGGCCCAAAACTGGACACAGGACTCCAGATGTGGCCTCCCCAGTGCTGGATAGAGGGGAAGAATCACTGCCCTCCATCTGCTGGCAACGCTCCTACCAATGCAGCCCAGGATGCTGGTAGCCTTCTTGGCAACAAGGGCACACTGCTGGCTCCTATTCAGCTTATTATCCCCTGTCCCCTGCCCCGGGTCCTTTTCTGCAGAGCTGCTGCCCAGCCAGTCAGCCCACAGCCTGCACCAGTTGGTAGTGGAAGTGCCAGCTCCTACGTGCCATTCAAGATGCACGCAGAATATAGCTACAAAGCCTGTCCATACGACCGTCGTATGTCCGTTATGATGCTTTTTTTTTTTTTTTTTTTTTTTTTTTTGCTTTTTTAACTGACAGTTTCACTGGTGCAAAGTGGCTTATTCCCCTTCTTATACTGGATATTTTCTTCTTTACCATCTAGCTGCCGCTGTATGAGAAGGGGGTTTTTTCCACTTCACTGATATCATCAATGTGGTGCAGCTTCTGCTTTCTGACAAAGCCTGAAAGGAATTGGGGTTTTGTGTTATGATACAGCGACTTCCTTTTGCTGGGAGGTTGAGCCATGACCTTCTATGCTTTGCAGAAGTAAAATCTTATTAGAGAAAAAGATGTGCTGTCCCTTGCCTCCTCTCAGTGATATTAAGCCAACTGCACCCTCTGTCGGAAGGATCCAGTACAGCCTAAGAGGTGGTGAGATCTTGCTCTAGACAGGCGATACAAAGCTCTTTTTGGTTTTGCAGGGGGAAGGCGGTGGCAGACGACGATACAGGCACTGCAATGCAAAACAGAAAGCAGGTTAGCAATACAGCCCCACTCCCTCAGTGCATGGATCTGCAAAGGAGCTCAGAGCACAGAAGCCCAAGTGCATCGCTCGGTGAGGTTGCGTGTGATCTGGCTACCAGATCTTATCAGATCCGAGACAGGCCTGGCCACTCCGCTGGGGGAAACAGAGCCACCATGGTGCGTGACGAACACCCGCATCAAACTCTACCGTGGAGATACGTCCCGAGCAGTGATGAAAGAGGGGGGAGGTTCAGCAATATGCAATCAGGGAGTACAGCAAGATGGGATTATTTTCCAAGTTAAGAGATAATCCAACCAGCACTTCCTATGCTTTCTTCTTCACCAAGCAGCTCCACTGATGAAGGGTAAGGAGAGGGGTTGAAGCTGAAATGGTTAGCATAGTCAATGCAGCAGTGTTTGTGGCCCTCTCTGCTTTGCCAGCGTTGCCCAGTGCATAAGATGAAGGCAAAATTTTATGCCTGAGCTCCATAGGAAGTGTCCCCCACCCTTGGGCGTGTTTACTTTGGTGAGACTCAGAGCTAGAGTTACCAGAGCAAAAATTCTCTGCCTAGCTTTTTCGGTGTTATGAAGAGCTCATTGTTTGGTGGCCTGATTAACAGGCAACTGCCAATCATCACCTGCACGCCGGGACCCTGCTCGGTAGGGCTCCAGGCTGCCTGCCCAGGCTCACTGGTCCCCGCAGGCCCCTCTGCTTGGGGGAAGGGTCTGGCTGGGTGGTCCGGCTGCAAGATCAAAGCCCCTTTCCTATAGGAACGCGGTGCAGTTTCTCCCACTGAAGTTACTGGCTAACTGTTTTGAAGTCCTGTGCAAAGGCATTTTGGTTATTGTCAAAGTAATCAGGGAAAAGTGTGCACCTTTTTTCTTCACAATGACAGCAAAGGAGAGAGCCCTGACCTCAGCGTAGGAGCCTAATCCACAAACCACAGCGCTGCTGCCAACCGCACTCCCTGCTTCCCACCCTTTCCCCCTTCCAGCCTCTGGATAACGTCAGCGTTTATCCACGTCGATGCACAGCTTCCCACCCCACCCTGTCGGCCAGCTCCTCTTCCACTCCCTTTCATCTGTGAATACCAGGAAAACCATACATGGGAAGAGCAAGAACTTCCCCTTCATTTCCTATTTGTTTTATTGCTTAGGCTCAAATGCATATAAGCATATTTGCTTTTAAAATTGTTATCCTAACTGGTCTAATATCACATTTCCCAAGAGCATCACTGCGAGGCACGGCCTCTCCTCTCCAAACTCTGCAGCAGGGTTAGCAGCATGGGCGAAGCAGGCACAGAGATCCTGCTTTGGACAGGAAAGCACAGTATCCCGAAAGGATGAATGTCTCCAGGCACTTCTCAGCATGCTTCTCACCATCCACTTGGCACTGGGGCAAATCTCAGGGTTCGAACCAAGCCATGGTCCCTCCCGTTCCCTTTCGGCAACTGGATCAGGGCTGGCTTATGCCCTCTCCCTTGCCTCCAGGGCCAGGCTGAGGCTGGACCAAGCTCCCTTTCCTGCGTGGCCAGATTGGGACCAGGCTGCACCCCCCGTGTGAGTCCAGATGGGACCCACTGCGCATGCCCCAAGCAAGTCCA